CACATGACACATTATTTCTTATTTATTCTAGATCAAAAATTCCTAATCATCATGTTTTTAGGATTACTGATACAACAAGATCAACAAAACAAAGAAACATCATTTTAGACGTTTATGTCATCAACTCAACTAATTTTAAGGTTAAATCATTAAATAAACTCTCTTTGTGTCAAAATCGTCCAACTCGTCACATCTTAGCCCTTTAACATGATGAAATTTCTAATGCCAAATCACATTAATTGATGCCGAGTTATTAGATCTGAGTATGTTGGTTCATATTGATTTTTGACATCACTCTTAAATCAAGATAGCAACGAAGAATAAATAAATCACTTTTTATCTAATTTGCTAAAAATAACAATCAGCCGATGTTTTCACGATCGTTAATGCAGTTAGTTCAGAGGCGAGGAGAAGCAGGCCGCGTTATTATGACAACTTGAAAGGAAAACATTGTTTTGGAGGTTCATTTCGCAAGATATTCGTTTGATTACGTGAATTTATTGATGCTATCTTTATTTTAAAGTATCGATCGGTTGCGAAACTTTTAACTTTAACTAAATAAATTTGGCAACACTGTCAGAATAGGCCAACTGCGGTTTCTCAGCGACGCGTCATACAAGTAGGTCCTTGACCCGTAGGATAGCAACAATATGTTATGATGATGTATGATACCGTGACGAATATCGTAATTATTTTTTGAGGTATTTTATGATAAATAACACGGCAACGCCCCAAGATGTATCAAGCAGATGACTCATATTGATTTTTGACAACACTGCAAAATTAACTGGTGTGCTTTTATAGCATACTCTTAGAAGCCATATCAAGGCATTTTGATGATATGTATACACAAATTCATGATTTTGAGTAAAAAACTTCAAATAACTATTTGCTAATTCGCGAAATCAGCGGAGTCACCGGCAGAAGGATATTGTCAAAGCGAAGTAATGAACAAGCTATTTTAGAATCCTTCAACCATTGGAGACCACGCCTTGGTTTTTTGACACATCAAAGTGTGGCGCCACCTGGTTAAATCTATTAATATTACATACACTGAACCAAAATGTGCAAAAATAAAACTGAAAAGTTCATTGAATTGCATTAATCAAAGCCATTTCTGTTCATCGATTTGAAATAATAATTTTAAAAGGTCGTACCTCAAAAACGATTTGGGATAAAACAATGATATGAAGAACGTTTTAAAGCAAATTTAATCCAGATGTAATGTGCCATAAATAATTTCTTATTTTCCAAAAACATCGAAGTTATGGTTTTTTAAACCCATCTCGGCATGTCTGATTGTTACCGATTTGAAATAATAACTTTGAAAAATCGTATCTCAGAAACAAATTAAGATATAACAATGAAATAAAGAACGTTTTAAAGCAAATTTAATCAAGATTTAATGTGCCGTAAATAATTTCTTGTTTCCCACAAACATGAAAGTTATGGTTTTTTAAACCCATCTCTGCACGTTTGATTGTTACCGACTTGAAATAATAAGTTTAAACATTCGTATCTCAAAAACGAATTGAGATATAACAATGAAATAAAGAACATTTTAAAGCAAGTTTAATCAAGATTTAATGTGCCATAAATAATTTCTTATTTCCCATAAACATCGTTGTTATGATTTTTTAAACCCATCTCTGCATATTTGATTGTTATCGATTTGAAATAATAAGTTTAAACATTCGTATCTCAAAAACGAATTGAGATATAACAATGAAATAAAGAACGAATTAAAGCAAATTTCATCAAGATTTAATGTGCCGTAAATAATTTCTTATTTCCCATCAACATCGAAGTTATGATTTTTTAAACCCATCTCGGCATGTCTGAATGTTGCCGATTTGAAATAATAACTTTTAAAAATCGTATCTCAGAAACAAATTAAGATATAACAATGAAATAAAGAACATTTTAAAGCAAATTTAATCAAGATTTAATGTGCCATAAATAATTTCTTATTTCCCATAAACATCGAAGTTATGATTTTTTAAACCCATCTGCACGTTTGTTTGTTACCGATTTGAAATAATAAGGTTAAACATTCGTATCTCAAGAACGAACTGAGATATAACAATGAAATAAAGAACGTTTTAAAGCAAATTTAATCAACATTTAATGTGCCAGAAATAATTTCTTATTTCCAATAAACATCGAAGTTATGATTTTTTAAACCCATCTCTGCACGTTTGATTGTTACCGATTTGAAATAATAAGTTTGAACATTCGTATCTCAAAAACGAATTGAGATATAATAATGAAATATAGAACGTTTTAAAGCAAAATTTAATAAAGATTTAATGTGCCATAAATAATTTCTTATTTCCCATAAACATCGAAGTTACAATTTTTTAAACCCATCTGTGCATGTTTGATTGTTATCGATTTGAAATAATAAGTTTAAACATTCGTATCTCAAAAACGAATTGAGATATAACAATGAAATAAAGAACGTTTTAAAGCAAATTTAATCAAGATTTAATGTGCCATAAATAATTTCTTGTTTCCCACAAACATGGAAGTTATGATTTTTTAAATCCATCTCTGCACGTTTGATTGTTACCGACTTGAAATAATAAGTTTAAACATTCGTATCTCAAAAACGAATTGAGATATAACAATGAAATAAAGAACGTTTTAAAGCAAATTTAATCAAGATTTAATGTGCCATAAATAATTTCTTGTTTCCCACAAACATGGAAGTTATGATTTTTTAAATCCATCTCTGCACGTTTGATTGTTACCGACTTGAAATAATAAGTTTAAACATTGGTATCTCAAAAACGAATTGAGATATAACAATGAAATAAAGAACGTTTTAAAGCAAATTTAATCAAGATTTAATGTGCCATAAATAATTTCTTATTTCCCATAAACATCGAAGTTATGATTTTTTAAACCCATCTCTGCATGTCCGATTGTTATCGATTACTGAAATCATAAGTTTAAACATTCGTATCTCTAAACCTAATTGAGATATAACAATGAAATAAAGAACATTTGAAAGCAAATTTAATCAAGATTCTTTTTATGCTCTGCGGAATCCTAGTGCATTGCAAAAAGGAAATTAATCTAACGTTCAACATTCACAAGAAGTAATTTAACTGAAAGATATCAAATCAAAAACTCTTCCTCATGAAAACAAAAATAATTTTAAAAATCTCAAAACAATTTCTGCTTAAAATCGTTACAACATCAAGTGGCAAGAAGAAAACATGCGATAGCAAAGAACTGATAAATTCCGGATAAACGATTCGTATTTATCGCAGTTGAAAAATAACTCAAAACGACACGAACAATTGGGAAACTGTAAAATATTAATTTTATTAGATGGACACGGTTACGAAGAAATGTCTAGAAACGTCACGCCCAGTATACCATTGATGATAAAGTACACGAAGATTAACTCGAATGTACTGAGTCTGCCTGTGCTGATATGTTTGATTCCAGTATCTGCACCAGTTTGCACCCTTTACAACTTTCTCCCTGCAGATATCTACATTATCTACACGCTCATTAAAGACAAAACCAGAGCCTTCACCCATAAAAGTGACATTGTTCAAAATTTCCACTATAACAGTTAGTACGTCGAAAAATGTTTCCTGTGCTTTATAGATAGTATACTATAAAATTGCTATTGCTTCCGCCGCAAAAAATAGTAGTGGATGGATTAAGTTTAAAATTGGCATGGTAATCAATAGTGGGTATCAAAAAAGCACAACCAACACCACCTCTTGCAGATTTGGAAGCATCAGTATAAATAACTAAACTACACTCTATCAACTGCAGAGTTTCAACAAACAATTCTTTATTTTCCCAAACATCATTCCCATAAGGAGGAATAACTTGATGCGTGCCAAAGTACTCCAAAAAGGTAGTACTTGGAAACTTTGGTTGTTCCAGAACCTACCCGTGACCTCCACTGCTAACTTAGCGACTTTAGCCTGAAACGTTTTCTGGTTCTTCGAACCATCTGCTTCGTCGATAAGAAATTGCGACTGACGTTAAGTTGTGGTTCTATAGCTTCAACATTAAGCGTTTCAATAGGAGTAGACTTCATCGAATCAAGATTTAATGTGCCATAAATAATGTCTTATTTCCCATAAACATCATTGTTATGATTTTTTAACTCATCTCTACATACCCATTCCATTGAAGAAGACGTACGCGCCACTAAAGCGCTGACCACAAGGGCACGATCCTCACTTGCTGTAGTTGCGCGGGGCCGTCCTGGCCGCGTACGTCCTAGCTCATACCATTCTTGCCATGCCCGTTGCACTGCCGATAACGACCGCTTCAGACGACGCGCAATTTCGCGGAACGATACACCCTCCACAATACGCATATCCACAACAATTCGTCGCTCAATCTCGCTTAAGTACCAGAATCGCCCTTCCATTGCGCACAGAATACGACAACAAACTGGTCCCTCACACCACACTAAAAACGACCGGTATCTCCAACTCACTTCGGTCTTAGAAAAATTCGAAACTCGCTGAATAAGCTGGTCTACATTAAACCTTCATGCTTCGCAAATATTATGAATTTATCTTCACGCGTTCAGATTATACAAGGTGTGCTAGTGAATTATTTCCAACAGTGTATTTGAAAAGCAAAACTTACACTCACCCTTCAAACATATTTATTCAGCAGGGATTTAACAACATTTGCAAAAGTGTAGCAAGAAATGCTGGAACATTTAAAATCTTGCTAAAACTTTCTGATAAGTTACCCGTCGATTAACGTTCGATTAAGATTTTGACAACTAACATTAACGGTACGTCGAAGATCATTTCATTAGATATCTGAGCTCGATTAAAGTTTTATAAAAAACATTTTTTCATTAAATGAACTCTAGTAAAATTAAACTTGAATTAAGGTTGCGTTAAGCACCAATTAGCGCTCGATTAAAAAATATATGATTTAATATATTGATACGAGGTACCAAAAATTCTTTGTCCCAAATGTAGATACAAAAACGTTTTTTTTACCTTTTGTAGAACGTCATCGTTAAAAATTCGTCCCGGACTTCTAACGGAAATCCCAAAATCTACATCATGTTTCCGTGTTGAACGCGATGGCAACTTTTCAATCGAATCCTGCTCTTCAGCGTTCCTTTCTGGTGTTTTAACATTCTTAGGATGTTCGGGAGGCTTCTTCTTCGGCTCAGATCCAGTTTGGCGTAATCCTAAAGTCCAAAGCAATATCGTTTTTCGATTTGGAACAGCATCGTCTCCGTCCAAATCAAAATATTTGCGAAACGCCGTTTGCGTTTTAGCAATAGACTCGTTATTCTTGAAGTAAGCCTCCACTACAACGTCTCTATGATGGCGCGACCATCCCATGGCGACAACTAAAAAGGTTATCTTTATTTACCATAGCTAACGAAACGAACCGCACCCACTACCTTCTTTGGGATCTCCACAGCTGATTTTTCGAAACGTACCGGAGTTATTTCTGTTTACATATATTCCAAGGAATGGTTCAGTAAAGTTAATTATTTTCGCTTCGGTTTCAGTTTTTTAAAACGATCATCAGCCGAATCTGTTTATAAAAGAAATCACAAAAATAATATCAAATTAAATTAAGATAAAACGTGGTAAAATTATTTAATAAAATAATATTTATAAATAAAGTTTCTTCCTTATAATAATTGGAAAAATAAAGCTAAATACATTATTTACAGAATTATTTTCTAATGGCAACAGTTTACTTAACCGTAACCAAAATTTTTGTATCTTATCTCTGATGATGACATTTTACCGAAACTAGTAAGACAATATAATTTGAAATGTTAGAAAATGCTGTAAAAATCCTTGCGCGTTATCACATAATCCTTGATTAGTTTGGAAAATTCTTAAAAAGATGTGGATATAGTTGAAAACAATGAAAGTATTCCAACGACGTGTTATTAACGATCTTGGTTTCAAGACGAAGTTCTCAACGTATAATTGTACCCGAGGTCGAGATTTCCTTTTGTGCTGTGAAAGATTATAGTAATTCAAAGATCACTTTTGCTCTGATTGTTCTCATCCCCAATTAATTGGTTAAAATCTGATGAATGTTGGCGTAAATTAAATTAGCTCTGAGACAGCTGATGCGTTTAGATCTTGTTGAGTCCAATCTGGATCTGATACAGCCGAAATCGAACGCTAATCAATGCTTAACCGAATGTTAATCATTTGTTAAGTTTGTTGTAGCGTTGCGTTAAATCACAAAAGAGTTTTATAAGATTGTGAGCGTCATGTTAACTCTAACCGAAGCTCTCCGACTAACAGTGCGGTTAGTTTATAAATATTTGATCTGATAAAACCTAAATTAAAGGCTAATCAATGGTTNATTAATCGTGTGTTAAGGTTGTTTAGACGTCGAATTAAATTAAAAATGAACTTATTAACATTATCAACATCATGTTAACTCTAACCGAAGCTCTCTGACTAAAAGCGCGGTTAGTTTAAAAAAATTGGATCTGATAAAACCTAAATTGAATGCTAATCAATGCTTAACTTGACGTTAATCGAATGTTAACTCCAGGTTAGGGTCGCAATTAGTCCAAAATGGATTCACAAATCTTTAAGTACACGTTCGTCAATAAATAGCAGCACTTTAATTAGGTCACAGTTTTACAAAGGTCAATTAGCGTCGAGTTAACTTCAAACTATTCGATCAAAGTTGTAATTTAGTATTCTAAAAGCCATCGATAATTGAATAATGGTTGTCAGCACAACATTAATGTCATATTCTATCAAAAATGTACTAATAATGTTAATCGTGCGATCAATTTGTATTGACCTTGCGTTAAATCTAAAAAGAATGTTATAAGATTATCAACGCCATGTTAACACTAACCGAAAGTTTTTCGACTAAAAACGTGATTCAGCTTTTAAAGCTGGATCTGATAAAACCGAAATCGAACGCTAATCAGTGCATAACTTAACGTTAATTGAATGTTAACGCCGGGTTATGTTCACAATGAGTCTAAAATGGGACCACAATTTTTTAAGATTTATAAAGCTCAATTAGCGTCGTCTTAACTTCAAGCTATTCGATCAAAGTCATAATTAAAATGCTTAATGAACGTTAATCAGATGAAAACTACTGGTTACCGTCGCAATAACTCTAAATTAACTAAATTAAGTTTTATAGAGTTCAATTAGCGTAATAATGATCTTTAACAGAACATTAATTTCATGTTCAGTGAATTTTATAACATCAACGTCATGTTAACTTTAACCAAAAGTTAATCGGTAAAAAGTTCCTTAAATTTTTTAATAAAGACTAAGTTAACTTACCGCAGAAAACATTTGGATCTTGTTGACGCTAAAACGGATATAAAAAATCTAAATCGAATGGTAATCGAAGCTTAACCTAACGTTAATCGAATGTTAACTCCGGGTCGTAATAAACCTAAGACGACTTTCAGCTTATGATAATTTTACAGAGCTCAATTAGGGTCGTGTTATCTTCAAGCTAAGTCGTAATTAAGTGTTCTAAAAGCGAGCGCTCGAGAATAATGGTCTTTAGCACAAAATTAACATCATATTCTATCAAAAATAAGTGCTAGTAATGTTAATCGTGTTGAGGTTGCGTTAAAGCCAAAAAGAATTTTATAAGATTATCAGGGTCATGTTAATTCTAATCGAAGCTGTCCGACTAAAATGCAGTAAAGTGCGACTAGAATGGTAATCAATGTTTAACTTAACGTTAATCGAATGTTGACGCCGGATTATGGTCGGAATGAATCTAAAATAGATTCACAATTTTTTCGATATTATAAAACTCAGTTATTATTGAAATGCTTAACCCAAAGTTAAGCGGATGATCATTACTGATTAACGTCGCAATAAGTCTAATTCAACTAAATTAAGTTTTATAGAGTTCAATTAGACCGCAATTAGATCTTTAACACAACATTAACTTCATGTTCAGTGAATTTTATCAATGTCACGTTAACTTTAATCAAAAGTTAATCGGCAAAGTTTCGTTAAGTTTTTAATAAAGATGAGTTAACTAACTGCAGAAAACGTTTGGATCTAGTTGACGCCAAAATGGATATAAAAAAACCTAAATTGAATGGTAATCGAAGCTTAACCTAACGGTAATCGAATGTTAAGTCCGGGTTAGGGTCGTAATAAATCTAAGATGACTTTTAGCTTCAGATAATTTTATATACCTCAATTCCGGTCGTATTATCGTCAAGCTAATCGATGGAAGTAGTATTTAAGTGTTCTAAAAGCGAAACTGATATAGAGAATGGCATGAAAGTCATTAATAATCTTATTTTAGTTAATTTCAATGTGTTTTGTAACATTGTTGTTGAACATTAATCGTCTTATTAACTTCTAAACCTTTTTGCAAACGTCAATGACAGCTCTGTTAAATTTAATCGAGCGTTAAAAAACCCATAACGATAAATAATGGAGTTCTAATCGAAAACTAAAACTAAATTTAATGTTGTTGCATCACTTCGATATGGTTTTATAAAGCTAGATTATCACTACGTTAGCTTTAAGATGTTGGAAAAAAATGGAGTGTTACTCAGGAAATTTTCTTTTTGTATTAAGTGTAGGTGTACTAATAAGTTGTAGAATGTTCATCGAATAAAACAAGTTACGAGAGAAGAATTCCAAATATTGAAAGTATTGATTTGCTTCATTTGGTTCAGTCTTTAGTGTTTTCTTACCTCCTTCATCCACGCTTAAAGCAATCTCAACAACGGATTACGCCTCGGGGCGTGGTTTCAAATATCGTTTCCTCTCAAAACATTAACTAGGTCGAGAGAAGATGAAAATTTTTATTTTGCTGAAGTAGATATTCTGCTCAAAACTCAGAAAACTTCGTCAAAAAGTAAAATATACATTTTGGACACATTAAATTTCAATATTCTCATAAGATTCAACATTATTAATGCGTCATAAAGTTCCGCAACCCACTTGGCGAATTAATAATATTGTTTCTTACCTAGATTTCTGCTAAAAGCAAGAAGGAGCCAACGTTTTTGTGTTAGTTAATACAATGTTCAGAGAGGCTAAGAAGCAGGCTGTGTTACTATGGCAACTTGAAAGAAATATATCGTTTTAGACATTAATTTCGCAAGATATAAAAGAAGACATAAAAGTTTAGATTAAATGATTAAAAATATCGATTCCATTATGAGACATTAAGTGACTACTTGGCAACACTGTCAAAATCCGCGGTATATGACCACGTCCTTGACCCTTACTGATTTATGTCGTGATATATAAATTGCATGAAATGCATTAATTTATTATTAAATAACACAAAACATGAACACGCCCCAAGAGCACCAAGTAATGGTGACTCATCGATTTTTGATGTTATTTGATGCTAATGGTTGCTAAATAATAGGAAATTGTTCAATATGCGCATCTCATATAACTAAAAATAACAATTAGTCGATGTTTTTATGATTGTTAATACATCGTACGGAGATATGGCGTCTCCGCCTTGTTTTTGTGACAACTTGAAAGAAAAATATTTCGAAACATGTTTGCTTAATTATTTGAAATTATCAACAATATCTTTTTTTTATTATTAAAAGTACTCATTGTTTATGAAACTTTAATTAAATAGTTGGCATCACTGTCAAAATAGGCCAAGTACGATTTCTGAACACGCTTCATTTAATAACACGTCCTTGACCCTTATTGAATATCATCATTATGTCATGATATGTAGATGATAAATCCAGATGGAGGGTTGCAAAAGGTATCAAAAAGTAACAAAAAGTATCAAGTAGGGCATGATGAGTCATATTGATTTTTTGACATTACAAGTAAACCAGAAGAATACTTTTTGGTATTATTCGAAACATCGAAATAACGACAACGTTGTTAAATACATTGTTAATTTCGCAACCCACTTGACGCATAAATAATATTGCTTATTATTTAGCTTTCTAAAAATAACAGCGAATCGACGTTTTCGTGACGGTTAATACAACGTTTAGAGACTCGGCGTAGAAGGCTTGGTTATTATGACAAGTTGGAGGAAAAGAATTTTTTTTTAAATAATCTGTCAAAATTAACTGTCATTTCTTATCTGTCACATGCCAAATGGAAATGAATGATGTTTATGTGTAATAATGCGAAATTCCTCAATCAGCAAAATTTCTGCAACCCTCTTGACAACCGAATAATTTTATTTTGTAGATAAAAATATCAATCGGTCAATGTTTTCGTGATTATTAATACACAAAGAGAGAGGAATTTTGTTACATAAATATCTCAATATTGCTGATAAATCAAGTGATCATATCTGTCACTACATAAATGTCACATTGACGTTGTTTCAAAAATTTTCAACGAAAAAATTAAGCAAGCCATTAAGTTTTGACATTACTCGCGAATTTTAAATAATTTTTTGACATTGTGTTCCTGAGAAATAAAAATTTGTCACTCAATGCCAACATTGCAAATGTGTCCAAATACTCTTGCAACTCATTGACAATTAAAAACAGTATTTGTTATCTAATTGCCTGTCCAAAAGTAAAGTCAAATGTTTTTAGGATTGTTAATATCGTCTAGAAACTCGGTAAAGACCGTGTTTCTATGGCAACTTAATGGAAACATTATTTTAATGTCAAATTATAAACAAGTTGAGTCATAATTGATCAAAATTGATTAAAATCATCATTTAAACCAAAAAAATTTTGAATTTGCGCAAACCAACTATCCTAAATCAATTAATCATCAACATTTTTCTTCAGGACACAAATCACAATGTTGTCATTGGTTCAAAAGTGACGTAATTAAATGTTACCCCCACCACAACCGATAGTAAGGTTAAGGAATAGGGGGAAATTTTTACCTCCAAAACATAACCTCATGCTACAAGATCAAAGAAAATGAATTTGCATTTTGTAAATAGTATTTGATTTTCTTACCCAAGTTTTGGGACTTCTCGTTCAAAGGTTCCCTGTTAAAAAGGTTCTGGATTCAGCCGGTGATTATTTATATTGTCTTCGCCTGTCGGTCCGGCAGTTTGAGCCGACGAACAACTGACAACTGCGGCGGCGTACGTCAACGATATCTTGGCGGGTTGCGCATGCGCATCAAATTAATGGCCCTTCTATTTGGATAGGTAATGAAAATTTTTAAAGTTTGTTTTTCACATTAAAATTAAATCGTTTTTATAAAAAAACTAAGACAAGAATTTGTTACGAGTACGGTGTTTTAACAATTGTTAAGTTATGAACAAAAGTTATTTAGAATCTACATCAAGTATAACATGATGGAACTACAATATTAAGAAATAATTTTCCAAAAAAAATGGATCGCACACAAATTGTTTATCAACAATAATTTATCATTAGATAATTTAGCTTCACTTGTTCGCTTGTTACAGTATTTTATCCCCGTATTTAACCACAATTATTAAATAACTATATTTTTTAACAAAATTTTGACATTTCTACCTCATTCTAACCTCACTTTCAATATCAAACTTTTTTCTTCTTTTCAAACTGTTTAAAACAACCATCTCTTGATTAAACATGTTTTTGTTTGATACTTGTCCACTTATTACAGTATTTTATCTCCGTATTTAATCGCAATAGTTAAATAACTAATTTTTTAACAAAATTTTGACATTTCAACTGTCAATAAACTTCTTTTCAAACTATTTAAAACAACTCATTCTTGATTAAACATGTTTTAGTTTGATACTTGTCCACTTATTACAGTATTTTATTCCCGTATTTAATCGCAATTGTTAAATAACTAATTTGTTTAACAAAATTTTGACATTTCAACTTTATTCTAACCTCACTTTCAATATCAAACTTCTTTCTTGTTTCAAAACCGTTTAAAACAACTCACTCTTGATTAAACATGTTTTAGTTTGATATGGTCTAGTAACTGAAATAAGTAACTATGAATTAGTTTGTAATTTTATAGAATTTTTATCAATTTTGACGTTTCATTGAAGTCTAAAAGTTTCAGTCAAAATAAAATTGATTAATCGTAATTAGTAATTGTACAATAAATACTAACTTAATTAATCATCCTTTCTAAATTATCAATAATTTAAATTTAGTTTCACTGAACTGGGACACCTGTATACATTTAAGTGTTTATCCTTGATTAATTGAGATTATACTACTAGCGCCATCTATTAGAAATTTATTAAAATATTTAAATTTGTTGATAAAGAGCGCTTTTATTTCGACTTAAAATAATTTTTATAAAAATAATATTTATCAGACCTATGATCACATGCAGAGCGGCAACCCAACCCAACCACAGTCACATAGAGCCAAAACAGTCTTTCAGGATCAAATATCTATGTATGTATTAGAATAATAATGTTTAAAAACTTATTTATTAGCATCTTAACCTTAAATTTTATTATGACACTAGATAATACCAACTTTAAGAACTTTGACTTTGACAGATATAAAAAAAACTAAAAAATTATTTATATTTATTCAAGAAATTTTTATGGAAATTATAAATTTTTTCAAATAATTCCCTCATAACACAAACAGGTTGTAATAAAGTAATCCGAATGTGATAAGTACCAGGTTTTTGTCCAAAACTAGAACCGGAAACAGCAGAAACTCCCACTGATTCCAATAGTTCCCTACAATACATATTATCGGCGTTTTCATTCCGAGATTGAGCCGCTTTTAAAACATTCTCGGGAAAAGTTATTTTAGGGAAAGCATACAAAGCTCCATCGATTCTCGTACAACTAAACCCTTCCATACCGTTAAAAGCATCTTCCGTCATCTTAGCTTTAATCTAGAAATAAATGATTTAATAAAAAAATTAAATAAACAATTAATTTAATTTACCTTTAATTCCATTTGAATTTGTGTTTTTTCTTTTAAAAATAATTCGTAACTCGGATCGTTTTCTTTAGGTGTACTAAATAAGGAGTACAACGCAGCTTGCCCGAAAGTTGTTGGGCATAATCCGAGAATTAATAATTTTTCAAACACTTTTTGAACCTCTTTATCCATGTTATAGATATGAACGTATCCCCCTCTTAATCCGCATTCGCCCAAAAATCCTTTCGAAGCGGACATTAAACTTGCCAAGGTGATGTTGTTCGGAGATAAATTTAAATTACGAATAATTTTATGAAAAGAATAAAATTTAAGGTTATCATTATGGATGTTCATTTGATAGACTTCATCGGCAATTATCATTAAGTTATGTTCGTTTGCAAATTTTATGATTTCCTCTATGTTTGATTTTGATAAAACTTGAGATGTTGGATTTCCTGGGTTTATCACTACGATAGCTTTTACGTAGCATTTTGATTTAGCTTCATTTAGTTTTAACTAAATAAAAAATTTTGAATAAATATAAAATTTTGTAAAATTTAAATTATTTACTTGTAATTCTTTTATGTTAACTCCCCATTGATTATCTTCGTCTAAATAATAACCAACGTTTGTCATTCCTAAAGCATCCAAAATCGTTGAATATAAAGGGTACTCTGGTATCGGTGTTAATACACCCACTTTTTTTTCTTTTGTGGTGTCTTGTAGTAAAGTTAATAAATTAAAAACACCCCCGCTTGCACCATTTGTTAAATAAATGTTTTTCCAATCAACGTTATTTATTTCATCACGTTCCTCGATATATTTTGCAGCTAATTGGCGAATTAAAGGAATACCGTTTGTTTGTGAATATGATCCAATTGAACCCCCGGGAACTGATTTTAAAAATTTGTTGGTTTTTTCTTTGATGTCTTCGGGAAGATCTTTTAATTCAAGATTATTACTTGGGCACACTATCCCTGCTAATAATTTTCTAATAAACGTTATCGGCTGTTGACCACCGCTGTGACAACACCCTAAAGTGGCGTGGATAACTTTATCAAAAGGTTTTTTAATTCCCTGCAATTTATGTTATTATAGTTTAAGTATATTTTTTTAACAAGACCTTACCTTTTTGAGTTCATCTTCAATTTCAAAAGCCCTATCGCTAAAAATTCGTATACCGTAAGCAAAATTTCCAAGTAAATTCGGATTTATATCATCTAAACCGATTCTTTTATTAAATCCTTCCATGATTTATAATAAATTTATTAATATTATGTAAAGATGTTTTCTGTTGGCCGAATAAGAGTGCACTCAGTGTATAAAAGTTTGTATTAGTTAAGTTATATCAAAGTTACCTATATAAAAGAATTTGCAAGGACATAAATAAACGGTGTTTGCATCTCTGACACAGAGTTGCATCAAAGATACACGAGTGTTTATATAGTAGATACAAAGAGAATTGTTATGTCATGATTTAACTTAATTTTGGGAATAAATCACGCTAATTTTAGATTTAATTATAATTTTATGCGATATTTCTTTGTTAAATAACTTGTTTATTATGTTAGCCGATAAAATTTATTTCGTAATTTCGATATCATGTAATAATACTGGCGCAATCAAGTGATGGTGCAATATTCATTTCCTTGTGAATATTATGTAATAACTTAAAAAAATTTTCCTCTTTTGGGTGTTGGGAAGATTTGGTAAAAATCACCAATTAATAATTAAAGACTTAACTTGTTGTCTTAACTTTTATTTGACATCTCTTAACTTTTTCAACTATATCTCTTACAATTAATTACACTATACGTATACTAGACTTACTGCTTAATGTAGCACAACAAACCTTGTTATGTTTGTTGTACTAACCTTATTAAATAGCCTTATTACTCCTAACCTACTTAATATTAATAACAATATTTACTATTAGTCATACCTTAGAACTAACACTATACCTAGAACTAGAAATATTTATCATTTAATATCAAATACAAAAATTTTTAATTATAATCACTTAATTTATTATAATTATCACCTCTATACTGCATAATTAATTATTAAATTTAGTATTATTTAGTATTATAGATCGATAGGATTTAAAATTTCCTTTAATTTGATACCAAACACGATATATTTATATTAAAAAACAAAAAAGTTATTATAAAAGAATTAATGGTAATAATCCGCCATCTTTGATAATAATCAAATTTTAAAATTCGAATATCTCTAGAACTAACCATGATGAATCAATCCGGTTTGGACTCATTTTGAAGGAAATTCAATTCAAAATCAATCAAAATAAACTTTATCCCAATCCAACTTTTATTATTTTTTATTATCTTTTTCTCAATAGCCCAAAATAAAAAAATTAATCATTATAAATTAAAACGGAATTGATTTTAATTTAAAATCGAATTCAAAAAGTTTTAATTAAATTAAAAAAGTTGTGATAAAGAATTAAATGGTAATAATCCGCCATCTTTGATAACAATCAAACTTTAAAATTCGAATATCTCGAGAACCAAGCAAGATAAAATAGTCGAGTTTGGACTCATTTTGAAGGAAATTCAATTCTATATCAGTCTGAAGACGCACGGCTAAACCCGAAACTTTCTAGTTCTAGTTTTAATTACTACAAATGAATAATGTTGAGAAAAACGGGATTTTCGTTTTCATCTCTCTAAAAATATAAGACTTCTCAGAATAGAAAGGCTCAAACTATTGAAAATTGTTTGGTGCCTGTAAAAAAAAATATTAAGAAACTTGGGAAAAATTCAAGAATCATCATGTTGCTTAAAAAACGACGATTTTTTTTAATCAATGTGAAATGATCCAAAAAACACGTTAAAAATAAAAAGAAAGTGCGGAAAAGTACACTAGATTAATTTCAGTTATAAAACTTCTATTATATGATAAATAACTTCAGGTTTAAAATGTCAACCTCAATTTTGACATATTTGTAATCTTCATTAAAAATCCTTTAAAATGAGTACAAACACGACATATTTATCTTCAATATTAATGAAGTTATGGTCAACTTCCGGTTAAGAATGTCAACGTCAATTTTGACATATTTGTAATCGTCGTGAAAAATCCTTTAAAATAAGTCCAAACATGATACGTTTAATTCCAATATTACTCGAGAGATAAGCAACTTCCGGTTTGAAATGTCAATGTCATTTTGACATATTCTTAATTTTTATAAAATGTCTTAATATTTGTCATAAAAACAAAAATACAATTAAAAAAAAATTAAGGTTGGTATTAATATTTAAAAATTAAATTGCTAACTTCGGGTTTAACGATTTTCATTCTAACTTTTTGTTTTTTGAGATAAATGCATCATGTTTGGACTCACTTTAAAAGCTTTTTAATAAAGAATACATCATGAAAGAACACCATTAAGTTGTTCATTTGTCTATTACATGATAACTAACTTAAGGTTTAAAATGACAACCTCAATTTTGACATATTTGTAATCTTCATTAAAAATCCTTTAAAATGAGTACAAACACGACATATTTATCTTCAACATTAATGAAGTTATGGTCAACTTCCGGTTAAGAATGCCAACGTCAATTTTGACATATTTGTAATCGTCGTGAAAAATTCTTTAAAATGAGTCCAAACAAGATATGTTTAATTCCAATATTACTCGAGATATAACAACTTCCGGTTTGAAATGTCAATGTCATTTTGACATATTCTTAATTTTTATAAAATGTCTTAATATTTGTCATAAAAACAACAATACAATTGAAAAAAAAAATTAAGGTTGGTATTAATATTTAAAAATTAAATTGCTATCTTGATTGTTGCTAACTTCGGGTTTAATGTTTTTAATTCTAACTTTTTTGTTTTTTGAGGTAAGTGCGTCATCTTTGGACTCATATTAAAGGTTTTTTAATAAAGATGACAAATATGTCAAAATTGACGTTGACGTTTCAAACCGGAAATGATCGTATTTTCATTAATATTAAAGTTAAATATATCGAGTTTGGACTCATTTTAAAGGATTTTTTATGAAGTTGACAAATATGTCAAAATTAAAGGTTGAAAGTTCAAACTTTTTGGTTTTTTGAGATAAATGCGTCAAGTTTGGTTATTTTATGAAGATTACATAAAGTTGACATTAACAGTTTCTAGTTCTCGTTCTAGTTTTAGTTCAATAAAAATAACAACGGTGAAATTTGATAATGTTAGCTATCTAATGTAGATATTTGATCAAGGATTATTAATCATTTTATTACGCATCAAAGTGCTTTTCGCAATCATCATATCCTTTTATTATTATATCTAATTGGACAATTACAATAATTGTATCAATTTACAAAGTACACAAAAGTAATTGATGTGGGATTTCAATCGAGTTCGTTTCATCCACACGTAAAGATGAAAAAATTGGTGGAAAAGTTAACTTTAAAAATGTTAAACAAAAAAGCTCCTCCGAATTGTATAATTTGCACCTTAAGTTTCGCCCAATTATTCGGCAATTACATCGGAATATGCCCGATGCAAGGTTTTTGTGATCACACTAAAAAGAAGATGTCACCTCACTACGTTGTATCAACATTAAAATTAATTATTGGAACGATTTTTTCAATGGTTTTTGTTACGATTCTCATTGGGTATTTATATCTAATACTTCAAAAAGGTAATAAAGAAATACCCAAATTACAAATGATCGCCGAAACGATATTTTGCTTCCAAAGCACAACTTTATTACTCGGATACATCACGAAAATCAAAACGCATCTTTTAGTCGTAAACGGTTGGGTTAATTTAAACGAAAATGGAAAATTTTTTGGAATTAACACGTTATTAACTGAAACAAACTCGAATTTAATTCAAAAACGAAGTTGTTTAACCGCTTTTATTATCATTACGGCTACAATTTCATTTGGAGTCATTCTTTATTCTCTAGAAATTGATGAAAAAAATTTTGACATAACCTTATTCCGAAGAATTTCAGTTTTCTTAGGAACTTACGTCCAATTAATTGTTGTGTTTCGAATATCTATTTATCATTATTTATTAAAAAACATCTTAAAACGATATAAAGATATAATTTTATCGCATATTAATATTCGAATTCCCACATTAATCAATAATGTACAAATTGATTATAACGAATTGGTTAATTCCAAAAACTTTAAAACACAATTAACGCTGTTTTCAAGATTTTACAGCGCTATTTCGTTAAATATGAAGCATTATAACCGTTTAGTCAATCCCATGGCTTTAATTTGGTTTCTTTGCGTGTTGGGGGTTTTAATTATCAACATTTACCTCATTGTAAAGGAATTTAACGTTGATTCGATTGGAAATGATTCAGTTCTAGTCGAGTTAAGCACTTTATTCGTTTCAATTGGGTTGCTATATATCGTTAAATCCGTTAATTCTGTGATCTATGTGGTAATTATTTATTAATATTTTTAATTTTGTTGTTAATAACTTGATTTTAGAGCGATGAGATATCATCAATTTTGTATCGATTACCGACCAGAAAACTTAAACAAGACGAAATCGAACACCTTGTGAATTTAATTAATAATTTATCTCTGCAAAAACCCACTTTAAACGCTTGCGATGTGTTTTTAGTAACAACTCAACTTCTTGCTTCTGTAGGTTATGTTTAAATAAATTTTGGTTTCTAAAAATAATTTTAATCAGATTTCAGGGACTGTTGTGACTTACGTTTTGGTTGCGTTGCAATTTAGACCGTCTTGGGAATCTTAATAATAAATTATGATTAATTAATAAATTATTTTTAAGAAAATAATTTTAATCGTATCTAATAGATGTCGCCGAATTCGCTTTTAATTACCAACTTAAACAATTTGACAGTTAAATTATAATTTTAGCCAACTTAAATTATTGGGAACGAAAAAAGCAAAGATAGAAAATGCAAAATCGTTTACGTAAAACAAAGACGAATGCGGTAATATCCCTCGTTCTTTATAATGGAAGAACAAGAAGTTACGTGGATGAATGAGGCGAAGAAATTTGAATTAATATCCTAACCTTTTTTTTTCGAATGCGACGAGTTTAATCCGCGTTTTTGAGATCAAGACGTTTCGTGTTAAATCTGACATATTCTACATTTTGACAGGTTCTGTTACTGATTTGTGATAAAATGTCATCTGAGGGAGTTATGGTTCAGGTAAATGTGCCTAAAAAGCTAATTTTTTTCACAAATTACTAATTTATTTTAGCCAAATATGTTGGAGGAAAACTACACCTTGTTTCCATACATTAAAGTGGAAGACACATCAGAAACTGTGTTGTGTGTCCCAGTCTCCGATCCACTCTTGGATTATAAGATTGAAAGTAATTTCATGGTGGGTCAACAATCCGAGGAATTCCTCAATGAACACAGTTATAATAAAGGAAAAGAAAGGCACTTAATACAACAAATAATTTTGATGTATTAATTAATTTTTTTGTTTTAGAACTACCCTCAAATGTAATTATTGCGAAAAAATAATGAAAACTCCTGGAGGTTTTTATAGGCACTTAAGAATTCACACAGGAGAGAAACCGTTTCAATGTCAATTGTGCCAAAAAAAATTCTCCCAACAAAGTAATCTTTGGAAACACGTTTTAATCCACACTGGAGAAAGGCGATTTGAGTGTCCAGAATGTAGCAAAAAATTTTCACAAAGAGCTAACATGCAAAAACATATGATGGTCCATACCGGGGAGAAACCATTCGGTTGTAATGTGTGTTTTAGGACGTTTGCACAAAGAGCTAATTTAAATAAACACATTCGAATTCACACAGGTAAATTATAATCAATTAAAAAAATTAATTCTAATCATTTCTTTTTAGGCGAAAAACCGTATAGTTGTAAATATTGTAATAGACAATTTGCTCAACAATCAAATATGCAAAAGCATACATTAATACATGAAGGAGTACGACCGTTTGTGTGTACTTTTTGCCCCGCTACATTTACCCAACAAAGTAATTTAAAAAAACACGTTGAGATGCATACGGAAAATAATAATAAATTAATTTACAAAGAAAATCCAATGTATACATGTAACGCTTGTTGTAATGGTTTTAAAAGTTTAGATAGTTTATACAAACATATGACTGTTTGTAATAGTGTTGAAAACGCTAACATTTATATCGAAATGGATGATAATGGCGGAAACGACACAATTTTTATCGATATGGATAACGAGCAAAAACAAAATTTAGAACCTCAAGAGCTGTGGCTACAAAACGTGATTGTTAGTAAAGATTTATTCATTACCGATACGAACGAGGGTTGTCCCGTGGTTTAAGTTTTTAATCTAAATTACAAATTTTAAAGAATACCCTGTTATTTTAAATGTTTTTTTTGTATAGTGTATAAAAGAAGGAAATATATTTTAATTTATTATATTTACACTTACGGACTGGTTAAGATGTGTAATTTAGTTTGGGTTAAATAAAACGATTAAAAATTAATCTCTTAAATTTTGTTACATAACCTAACTTTCAATATTTCCTTTATGGAGATATATCATGATTGATTACGTTTTATTTTAGAGAAATAAAGCAAAAAGAAGTATTTTTGAATAAAAACTAAAGATTTAATACAAAATAAATCATATTTTAATGATAAATAAATAATTAATGTTTTTATTTATGGTTATTATTATCTGTCAAAATCAAATTTTTGTGTTGGTATTACCTAGTAATATTTTTGGTAACTAACATACATGAAGTACTTATTAAAAATTAAATTAACGATTAATTAATGCAAATAAATAAGTATCAAATTAAAATGCATTTAATGTGAATAAAACAAAAATTTTTATATAAATGAACACCCTAAAACATTTATGCTTCATCTTGACAGCTAACTTCATGTTTATAACGTTCCAAATCCGAATTTTTGAGGTTATGATGAATGGAGGAAAATCTTTATATACTTTTAGGTCATTAAAAGTATACAGCAATCTATCGCCGAATACCAATTAAAACTAGAACTAACACTAGACCTAGAACAAGGAAGTTTCGGGTTTAGCCGTGCGGCTAAAAAAAAAATCGTTCGAGAATGCAAAAGAATTTCGCTGTGGTGTATCAAACAACATTTTTTCGAAAACTGCGTATTCTAAAGTTATAAATTAATAAAAAGACCAAATTCTGTATAATGACAATTAGAATTCATTTAATGTTATGTCAAAAACTTAACGTCTCATCGATTTAGGCTTTTTGTTTAGTTACGTCAAAGAAATTAAATTTACAGTTTTCTGTAAATTTTAACTAAAAATTAAAAAAACATATATCTGATATTTGAAACAAATACATTTGTTGAACTATTTAATTTATATTTGTTTTACACAAAAGTTGGTATAGATTGCATTATTTCACAGTTTTTATTAATGTTTAATATTATTATTAAATGTCTTTATAAATTAAATTATTGATAGATGGCCTTCATATATATATATTTTTTTTAATTCAAATAAACATAGCAACATTTGTTGTATTCTAAAATTTCCTGAACTGTCCTGTTTTTTAAGATGGATTACGAAAATTACGAGCAGTTTAACATATTAGAAAGTAAAGAAAATTTTCAGTAGAATAATTTTTAGTTATAGTACCATAATTTACAGGAATCTGTAAATTTAATTTCTTTGACACTAAAAAAAAAGTTTATTTTTAACTTTATTCTAAAACAATAAGAAATACACCTATCTAACCCTATATTTTTGTAATCAGAAAAAAATAACGACTTTAATAAGCGAATAATCAGTGGTTGTTTCCATTTAAAAAAAACGAAAATTGTCATATTTCAAAAACTAAAACCGAAAAATTTATTTGATTTTTTTGACTCTATGTCTTAGTTATAATACTCCACCTATAATAATAACCAAGATAATTGCACTTGCTGGTTTTACATTTTCAATTTTGGCCTCTAGGGGAAAAACAAAAAACGATATCGCTTTGAGGTTTTTGGCATTAGCAGTTTCTCGAAAAACGAGATCATGACGTGTAAGCTACTTTTTTTCTAGCTCTTATAGTTTCCGAGTTAGTCTATTCGGACTTCGAATTTGAACCACCTGTACAATAGATCTCTGAGGTCCCGGCGCTTCTTTAATGGAACCTGTATATTATTCCATATTTCGAAATTCTAATAAAATTCATGTAGCACATTGTAAACCTAAACTTAACCGTTTTCGAGATATTGAACTTTGAAGATCACACTACTTATAAATTACACAAACATTTTTTGTCGATTATGTTCATAATTCATCAAGGTACCTGTGAAAGTTTCTCATCTCCATAGCAACGTAGTGACATAGCACATGTCAAAAATACAAATATAGTTTAAATAATCTGCTCCAAAAGATAAATTACGTCACTAATTAGATAAATTCGTAAATTTTTAAAAGCTTAGTATCTGGAAAACGCTTAAGTTAAGGTCTATGACGTGTTACATGAATTTTGTTTAGAATTTCGGAATGAACTGAAATATGGTATAATATACAGGTGTTCCATTAAAGAACACGTAATTTTGTTTCGTCATAATTTTTTGACTGAGCCTGTATACTTAATTTGTCTTTATTGTAATTGATTTTAAAGTTAAATCAAAGATAATAATCCCAGTTCTTAAAATAACAATTAATTTTTTAGTACGATTTCTTTATTTATAACAAAACATGACAAATTTCGCCATAAGATACAATTTTGTATTACCTGCTAAAAATTAAAAAAATAATAAAATATATACAAGGAAATCCTTACTTGAAAAGCGTTTCTTTTTCCTACAAAAATAATAAAGAGATTCAAACAAGGACACATATCAAAACATTGATTGAGATCAAAATCACCCACAAAAAAGCGGAAGCGACGCCATAAAAAACGTTTAATTTGCAAGAAAAGACTAATTTATTTTACTCTTCAATTACAACTTAATTAAATTAAAATAAAAAAAAAAACAGGAAAAATGTAAATAGTATAAACAATTTGCTTAGAAATAATGAATTACAAATTAAAAACCCCAATAAAAAAAGTAATATTGAGGATAATTAATGGAATGAATGCATGTTTATGATATAATTGAGTTATTGTGCGCAATATCAAATAAATCTCGTTTGGCACAATTTTAATAAGATTAAAAATTACATGTAGAAAACGAAGCTTAACAAAATCAAAAGAAATGGAATGTTAATTAACTAAATCATTCATACCTACAATAAAAGAAGACTATTTAAGAGATTCAAATCAATTACAGAGAGCATAGTTAAATAATTAATAATTAGAGATTGTAAATAGAGATAGTATCAAAACTAGACATTAAGAATTTATTAAAAAAAAAGGATCCTTCTAAAAAATCGTAAATATTCCAAAAAAGATTCGAGAAAAAATTAAGCGGAAAATTGAAATTCTTTTTATACTCAAAAATTGATTGAATTTATTCAACACCGTGAGCGAAAATCATCACCAAACCAGGTTCGACCATTAGGTCTTCGCTCACGTGCGTGTTATCGCATGATAATACAATAACCGCTTGTTTTCCGGGCACCCTTTTACATACATAATTCTCATACAATCGCCGGTTATTTTGGCGAGTCTCTAACGAGCATAAACCCGGGGGCCAACGCCGTTCATGACTTTTCTCCATTAAATCGTCTATTATGTGCGAAGGACAACCAATTTCACTTAAAGTTCGTCTAATCATCAACTGTAAACAAAAAATAATCAATAAATATTAAAGAAACATTTTAATTTAACCTGTAAAACTTCATCTGGTGTTGAAATCATTCCACCCCATCTCGTTACTCGAGCTCTAATCAATGAATTACTCCATCGAACAACCTCATCACGTTCCATCGCATCAGCAATTGCTCTCATTGCAGGATTAGAAATGCGCATGGCGCGCATAAAATCCTTAAATAAAATTAGTTTCATTTAATAATTAAATTTTCTAATTTTTTACCTTTAATAATTGGAGTTCACGTTTTTGTTCGTTTATAATAAATCTTTGTTCAGTGAGATCTTGCTGAAAATCATTGAGTTTTTGTTGTTGTTTAGTGATTAATTGGCGTAACTCTTTGATACAATTATGATCTTTAAGTTCATCTTTCGGGATAACCAAACCACAACCTTGCTCGCAAGGTAACGGCCTTTTCGGGTTATACACACATTCCTCCAGGTGACTTGCCAGCGTATCTAATTTTAATGTACAATTACAGCCATATTCTGCATTATCACAACTTATTGATAATCTAAAATCAACGTTTTCGTTAAATAATCACGAAATTTCTTTGTAATTTACCTGGAAAGTAAATTTCTTAATATACGAGGTACAGGTCTTAATTGAGCGGATGTTATATGTTGCCTGTCCACTGGACAAGTGGGTTGACGCGAAATCCACTCTTGAATACAACTCCTACAAAAAGCATGTTCACAAACAGGTGCCTAAAACAAACCTAATTAGTATTAATACATATATAAAATTATTTTTACCTGTAAAGGATCTTCTAGTACGCCAGAACAAATTGAGCAGATTAATTCTTCGTCGACGTCGCCCTGAATTCTATTCACCTCGAATCCCATGTCGTTAAACAGCGATCTGTTCTTACCAAATTCTGTGCGTTTTTACAGTCTATGCATACTTAAAACGAAACCGTTTACATTTCACCAGTTTATTATTAAACAAGGATAATAAAAATACGATAAAAATACAATAATACACAGTTGACTTAAACACGACAAGCGACAAGACCACCAAAAATGTCACAAATTCTATGTTTGTGTACATAAAGACGCTATTGAATTGTGAATGTATCGATAGAAAGAGATGAAATACATGATTTATAAAGAAATATGGTTAAAACAATCAGAAATATTAAGATTATTAGAAATTTTATATTTTCGTCATATAATTTATTTTAATTATAAATAAATAAGCGTGAAAATAAATTAAATAAGTAAGTGTAAGTAAACAAAGAAACGTTGTATATTAATAAAATATCATTGACATTGACAGTTAGGTGTCAATTTAAAATTCTTTTATAAGCTAATAGATGGCGTTCATTAATTTAAATCATTATTTAGATTTTATTTCTATTAAATGTGAATTGCGACTGGTGTGAAGAACTTTAAAGATCACGATGAATATGTTTAATACATAATTATGATAATAATGGTAACTTTATTAGTAACTTTATTTTTTTTATTATACTTATCAAATTATTGTGAAGTTAGTAATAATTGACAAGATTTGACATTGATTTGAAGTGTCAAATGTTTAACTTTTGGTTATTTAGAGCCAAAATTACACAAATTGAAATAAAATGAACTTCTTGTTATTTTAAAAAAATGTTATTAATAAAAGCTGTTTGTCATTTAAATGTAATTGTTTACAAAAAATTTTATTACCATCAATGTTTATTTATATAACCTAAATAATATCGTTTTCTATAACAATATACAGCGCTACCTGCCGGTGATATAAATAACTTTTATTAAAATGAGTGTTTTGAAATCAATTTTTAAATTAATATTGTAATTTTGCTAAGTAAAATCGTGTAAAACTCTCATAACTTGAACTTTCTTGATGGGATTCTGACTCAATGGTTGAAGAATTAGGGAAGATCTTTATAGAAAATCTTTAAAAAAATTAAAATCTTTCATATTGATTTAAGCATTTATGAAGGTCTTGCTGAAATCTGAGAGCTTGATCAACATTTGTGTCATATTGTATGAAATGGTTGCCCAAATTTCTTCCCAATACAAGTCCTATGCTTATGATTCTTGCTGTGAACACAAGTGATTCAGATTACTCATCGTAATCATTGTCTTCATCATGTTTGTTTGTTTCATGAATCATGTTAATTAAATCATCTTCATTCAGTTCTTCATCAGCTATTATTTCTTCAATATCTGCCTTAACTAAATCTTCAAAACCTTCTCCTCCTATGGTATGGGTCATCTCAGTGACCTACGATTCATGCTCTATTGGTGAATCATTATATTTACTTTCAACAACATCCATCCATTGATTTCTTCTATTATGGATGTTCTTAAATTCATATTCTTACATAAAAAGATTTCATCTCCAGTATTTACATCAACATTTTAAACTTGTGTTGATGAATAAGAAGCCAAAGTAAGAATCTAAATCAAGTGTAGTTTCAAATAACCCTAAAATATTATCGAAAAAGTTAATATGGTATTTGATTCTTCTATTAACATGTTCCTTGACTCTAACTTACGTAGGTGAAACCAAAATGCTGATTGTTATAATTAAATAACACAAAATAATGAAGATTTACTTTCATTGTGGTTTGTTGATTTTAATATTGAGGTTATGTTCACATTATTGGTATCGTTTCAAGTTGTATCCTAAAAAATTGAATATTTTGTATACAAAATGGTTATATAGAACGTTTATAGAATGTGATAATATTTTAATAATTTATTATATCTTTATTAAAAGATTTTTTGACATATACTTGACAATCAACGCACAAGATGGCGGCAACTCCTTGTATTCGAATTTTGAATTATATATAAAAACGCGAAATTTCTAAATGTAATTCGATACCGATTTTGTTTTAAAGTGAAATTGTGAAATTTTTGTAATAGTAAACCCATAAATTTAAAAAAAAATTAAATTTATTTATGAAATCGAACTGTTGCCTGCCATCTGTTAAAATGTTTACAAATTAAACTGTCATTGACATTTAAATTTGAAAATCGCGTTCGTTTTGTTCAAACAAATCAAAACGATCCGTTATTTGATCCGTCAGACGTCAGTTCGCAGTTATACAGGCGCACACCATACAACATACATACTTATTTTATTTATTCGGATTACATACAGTTCGATTTTTAAAGAAACCCCGTACCGGATGGACTTTGGCATGAAATTGAGGAGGGCACCGTCGGCGAAGACGAAAACGGCTCGACTTTCTTCGAGTCAAGGTTCAAAGAATAAAATGATCACCACGCGAAAAAGATCAGCATCGAAGTGTCGGAAATGCGTTTGTATGCCGCAACTAATAGGGCCCGTTGAGTTCCCTTCCGTTTGGACGGAATTTCGCGTCAACAATCAACTTTGCGACGGAACCATCACCTGTGAGGATGGTACGGAATTTAAAGTTCACAGGGCCATTTTATCCGCAGTTAGTCCATATTTTAAGGTAGAAATTAACTCTATAAAGAAATAAAAAAATTAAAATAATCATTTTTTTAGGCATTATTTACAAATTCTATCAATAGAAATCAACCAGAGACAACAATAGCCAATTTAAAAGCTCCTAGTTACATAGTCCAATCACTTTTGGATTTTGCTTACACTGGAATTTGTCGGATAGCGACCGATAACGTTGAGAATATGTTGCGTTATGCCGATCAATTTGAAGTTTTGGGTGTTGTACAACTTTGTTGTCAATTTGTATTAGGTAAAATGAGAAATGTTTGTATTAAAAAATTTAATAAGCTCCTTTTAGAACACTTAACCCCTCGAAATTGCTTGGGTATACTAAATTTTGCCCGTCATTACTTCTGTAAAGATTTAGAACAAAAAGGGCGATTATTCGTAAGGCACAATTTTACTAAATTGATAAAAGAAAATTTAGAATTTCTTTCGCTCGATGTTGAAGACGTCATCGATATTCTCCAAGACGACGAATTAAACGTAAAAAACGAAGAGATCGTTTTCTACGCTGTTCAAAAATGGATCGAAAGCGATATTGCGCATCGAAAAATCTATTTGCTCCAACTATTAAAATGTATCCGTTTGGGAACTCTTTCGGTAGATTTTATCAAAAACATGTTAAAATGGGAGTTGGTTCAAAACGATCAAGATTGCGTAAAATTTTTAGAACCGGTTATAAATCTAATCGAAAATCCAAATCAAGAATTAGACATTGTCCAACATCCTTTATTAAGACCTCGAATACCCTACGACATTTTATTTGCAATCGGCGGATGGAGTGCGGGAAGTCCAACTAATTTTATTGAAACTTACGATACGAGAGCGGATCGATGGCTTTTATCGACAGATACAGATTCGGGGCCGAGAGCTTATCACGGTTTGTGTGCGCTGAAAGGTCTTATTTATATGATTGGGGGGTTTGATGGAAATGAGCATTTCAATACGGTTCGATGTTTTGATCCGGTAACGCATACGTGGAAGGAATGTGCTTGTATGTATTATCCGAGGTGTTACGTTAGTGTTGTAATGCATGATGGAAAAATTTACGCCATGGGAGGTTATAATGGAAGGATACGGATGAATTCTGCTGAACGATACGATCCGGAAACGAATCAATGGGAAATTATTCAACCGATGCAAAGGCAAAGATCTGACGCCAGTGCAGCAGCTTTAGATGACAAAGTAAAAAGATTTTTATTATTTTATATTTTTAATTTAATAAATCGAGGTTCTATATAAACTCTTTTCTGATTACAGTTAAAACATCAATTATTAGCATCAAAAGATTTATATTAAACATTCTTTAAGTGTACAGAAAAATGTATCCAATCAGAAAAGTTAATACAGTAAAACCTCGATATAGCGGATCTCGTTAGAACGGACTTATAAGTTAGAACGGATAAATTATATATCGGGTACGCGGATTAATCAACCTTGCACCTCAAAGATCTATTGCACACTGATAGATAACATTGTCAAATTTCATCATGCAGTCCAATGTTCTTAACGAACGTTAATACCTTGCCAAAAATCAAGAATCTGATACGATTAACAGCTGGGCAGTGGCATAAAACATGCTTAACCGTTTCCTCGTCCTCCGCACATAGTCGGCTAGGCCCAACAAGTTTAATCTTTAATCAGCAGTGCTCTATAAAGACACCAATTAGAACCTTAATGCTGCTACGAGCAAGTCCTAAAATAGTCTCGGGTTTGACAGTGGCGATGTTAATAAACAACTTAGCGTGTCTCATTCCAGGAGAACTGGTCCACAGTAGGCAAAGTCTCTCTTCAGCCCATAGTCCAATGCTATGTTTGGCCATCGCGAATGATATACCAACCAGCAGTTGGCCTCACAAAAGCTTTAGCGCTACCCTCTCGTGCTAGCTTACCTGCCGCTTCATTGCCAACAACTCCAGAGTGACCTGGGACCCAAATCAGAGAACTCGGTTGTCACAACTCAATGTGTTTAAAGTTTTTTTACAGTCATTAACCAGAGCCGACACCATTTTCACGGCTTGCAGAGTCTGGAGAGCGATTTGACTGTTTGAGAAAAATCGTCATGTTCTTCACCCCTCTCTCAAGAAGGATTGTAGCACTCATGTCAATAGCAAATACTTCCGGTTGAAATACAGTACAGATTAATACAGCTTAATCCAAAGTGTCTGGAAGCATACTCTGGTTATGAAGACAAAACAGATTCGACATATTGATAGATTCAGTCCTCTTGCCAAAGATGATGTACGAATACTTTTAAGACATTTCAGGTTCAAGATGCAAGTGGAACATCTAAAATGAGTTCCAAGACAATTTTGGTTAATGGAGGTAGTCTGCTATCTTTCTAACTGCCAAAACTTATACTATATGCTTCATTATCTATTTGAGTATACTTCTTCTACCCGCTTAGCTATTCTTATGTAAAGTTTGCGCAAGTAGATCCTAATTCCGCTTCTTGAACACTTCGTGGTGTTGTTAATTGAACATTTAGTGGTCATCTGTAACAAGTAATCTTTGATTTAGATCTACGGAAATGATTTTTGTAATCATAGTAATGATTAATGATGAAATCATCTATAAGATATTTGCTCAATACTAAGCAACGCGATTTATATCATCGTAAAAGCATTTATTTTATCGGGTGCTGTAGATATGGTAAACATCATGATTTTTGGTTAGTCTGTTGGGAATTGAAATAATCTTGCGCTGCACCAGGACCTACAGAGAGTCAGGTGCTGGAATGTATGCAAACTCTATAAAATCTAGTCCATTTAAAACAAAGTTAAAAAAAATTATGGAAGGTATGGAAGATCTCTCTGGATCAAAAAACATGCACCTTTTGAAGTCAACGAAGATATATCGATATATTATTTATAAGATATATTTCGATATAACATGAAAATTCCCTTCTAAGCGATAAGGCTTAGTGGATTTGGTGTCAAAATGGGTATTTTGGCGAATGGAGTAATAAAAAGCAAGTTTAGAGCAAACATCAACGTGGAAAATAAAATGAGGTGTACGGTGATTTTCATGCTCACCCATCATATTAATTGTTAATTTAATATTAATAAATGAAAAAAGATAAGTGTTGAAGAAACACGAGTTTTATTTATTTACTTATGACTGGTTATCCTTTTACTTATTACTTTATTAGTTTACGTTTTTGATGTAGCTAAACATAAAGCGACGAGAAAGGTACTAAAGAATATAAGCTGCAAAACAGGATAAAAAGCAACCGTTCTGATTTACAGATGATGTAACAATTCTTATTAAAGAGAAAAATAAGACATATAAAAACAATTTGTCCTTGAAAATGTGCAAAGTGAAGAAGATTACAAATGAAAGACTAGGGAGCTGAGACGCGAGATAAGTAATTGATTGAACTGTATGAATGGGAGAAACACTATGAGACTCTACTCTTGGAGAGTAACAAGAATATTGGTAAAAACTAAAAAATTAAAAAAATGTGGAAAAAACTTATTGGATAGTCTATGGTAGAGAGTTTATTGAGATATGGCTGTGAGGTTTGGACGAAGATATGAGACGTGAAGATACGGATAGGTCAGGCAGGAAAGTGTTCAAAGACAGGGTTATTATTATGCCTTGTGCCAATGTTAATGGTACATCTAGGCAATTTAAAAATGTTGATCCTACCACCCGTATACAAAAATCAAAAGAAAGCATGGGTTACCAAAGAAGTATTCCTAGAATGGTTCCACAATAATTTTGTCATTCTGAAAGCTCTTCTCATTTTAGATGACGCGCCTACACATAGAGCAAATGACAAATTAGCTTCAAGAAACGGTCTAAAACAAACACTTTTTTTCTACCTAATTGTACACCTCTGCTTCAACCTATGGATTAGAATGTGATTCAAATGATAAAGAATAATTATAAAAAAATTCTCCTGAATTCAATTTTGCGAGAAGATTTTGTATTTACCGTGACTGAGGCTTGGAATAGTGTACCTCAGACGGACTTATTTTTAGAAGATGAGTTATGAATTGCAGAACTGAACAAGATGCTACAAAATCAAGAAGCTGACGAATCAGACGACGGCAATGTAGAAGTGGACCAACTATTCAGTACTCAGTGGACCAAAAGGCTGAAACGATTTTTTCATAATATATATTGCTAGAATTACACAAAACATGGTGTATACCTATTTTGGCATACAAACTATTTGCAATCCAGCCAAATTTACAGTTTTTGAGACATTTTTTGTTATCCCAGTATCATTGATAGAATGGCACAACTTGTAGTACAACAATAATTAAAACTAATGGACAAACATCGAAGCAAGAGGATATGTAACAAGGCAACGGCCTAAGATCCTTAATATACTCATGGATCAAGGACAGTAGAATTTATCATCATCCATTGTTGTGACAACGTGTCCACAAACTACGTCACACCATTTTCCACGCCCAGCTGTTGTTGTGCTCTATGCGTTTGCTGTGTATTTTTAGAGGTTATATCGTAGACGTATTCATATTTTTGAAGTTTAATTTTTTTAGACGTATTAATGTCTATCATATAACCTCTAAATCTCTAAAAACACACAGCAAATGCATAGTACTCAATGACAGTTAACAGGGCGTGGCAAATAGTGTGATGTAGAGTGCGGGCAACCAACCCGTGGTGGGCTAGAAAAATACAATGGATGTAGCAGTCCTGTTAGATTCTACTGCCCTTGCTCATAGATAGAATAATAGAGGTGATATAAGTGGACAAAAATTACTATCTTACTAGCAGACACTGAGGATGGCCACAGTTGTTAACATCTTACGTTGCAGCTATAAGCAAGACGAAGCATGATGATAGCAAATAACCCCGTAGATGCAAAATATTATAGTAATTAACAATAAGATTAAATATATCTTGACTTTAATCGAAATACCAAATCAAAAAAAGTATAATTTACAAAAATTAAAATAATCAACAATATCTTTTTCTTTAGATTTATATAGTAGGTGGTTTTAATGGACAAGAAGTAATGAGTTCGGCTGAAGTGTACGACACCCTTTCGAATCAATGGTCATTTATTCCTCATATGCTTTCCGCGAGATCCGGAGTAAGCTTAATCGCTTTTAAAAACGCGCTGTACGCTTTAGGAGGATTCAACGGCTTCACTCGTTTAACAACCGGCGAAAAATACCTTCCCGGAGACTCTTCGGGTTGGGTTGGAATCGCAGAAATGTTTAGCCCAAGGAGTAATTTCGCAACAGTGATACTCGACGATTTAATCTTTGTTATTGGTGGATTCAACGGTGAGTTTTCTTTATTAAATCCATTAAAATAAAAATAAATAATAAATTAACTTCTATTTACTAATTTTTAGTATTTGCTCAGCTCAAATTGATTCATATTTAACCCTTAACTAATCGCGTGAGGTCAAATAGACCCCAAGTAATTAGTTAAGGATTAAATAAAAAGATAAGATTGTTTAGGTCAAGTGTGTAGTTTTCGCGTGAAAATTTCTAGATCGGTTCGTGGCAGGTTCAACGACGATCAACTTTGTCGAGTGTTACGATCCGGAGAATAACGAATGGTTCGACGCGGCCCCCATGAATTTGAACCGTTCCGCTTTAAGTGCGTGTGTCATCAGCGGATTGCCGAACGCTAAAGAATACTCATTGGTCGGAAGAAGCCAAAGGGAACTAGGACAAGGAGCCGGTCTTCACATGGAAGCTGGAATTTAAACAAAAAAGATGGAGAAAAAAATATCTTATGAAAACGAAAAAAAAAAAAATAAATAAAAAGAAATATATTCGGCTAAAACGCAATGTGACAAAAAATACATCTTTTCACGATTCGATTCAAAAATAGGGGCTGTTTTAAAAAAAAATGGGAAAAGAGGTGTTGTCTCATGTTACTGAACAAGTAATAATTCGTTTTTTTAAAATAGATAATTGCGAATTTTAAACAAGTCTTGCGTATGTTGAGCTTATACGCTATTCTGTGGTGTCGCCTTTTTATTTATACTTGTAACTTTTTCCCAAGCGATCAAATAAATTTGTCACTTTTTGGACATTTAATTGTTAATTTTTTACCCCTCGTTTCTACTATAATATGTATTCCGTTTTCTAGATTTGATGCCATTTTTGAATTTTTTTCTTGTGACACACTGATGAAAAGAACAGGGTTATAAAATATATACTTTTAGGGGAATCCCGGTATAGCTATTTGGTTCATGCAAGTACAGTGTATTAATTAATTATCGTACCCGACGTCATCATTGCAAGTATGCAACCAATATCACACTATTTTTATTGCAATACGCGATTTGCGTATGATGCGTATTGCACAGTGATATTGGTTGCATACTTGCAATGATGACGTCGGGTACGATAATTAATTAACACACTGTACATAGTGCGAATCATTTTATCAGCAAGTCTTATATAATTGTGCGTTTATTTTTTGAACTGGTAAGTTTGCAACATTTATGATATCTTTATAGTTTGCATACATTTTTTAAGGTTCTATAATGCCAAAGGATTATAATGGAAAAGTTATTTCTTTAGAAACTAAAATTGAAATATTAGACCGTCTACGTAATAGAGAAAGAATAACGGATGTTGTTAAATTTTACTCTATGAATAAAGCCACAATAAGGGCAATAAGAAAAAATGAAGACTCCATCAGAAAAAGTGTAGCAGCTGGAACCTGCAGCAGTGTGAGTACGATTTCATATGTTAGAAATAAGGAAAATATGGAAAAAGCATTGGTGATATGGATAGAAGACCAAACTCAAAACCAAATCCCGATCGATACCAATGCTGTTAAATAAAGCTTTGAAGATTTCTTTTTTCACAATCTATGGGTGGTTCGCGAGATTTAAACAAAGAGATTCTTTACATAATCTGAGAATGAAAGGTGAAAGTGCTGATGAAAGTCTGCTGATTCGGTTGCAGCACAACAATATTCGGCAAAATTTGCTGAAATCATTGCCGCTAACTCCTACACTTCTGATGCTGACGAGTCCGGATATTTTTGGAAAAAAATGCCGGAAAGTTTGCAGTTTGCTGGGTGGATTGAATAGTTTAGTAACTGTCACTGCCACATCCAAGCCCGCATAAAGGAGAAGGATTGGTCCATGGGCTAACAACACTTTACCAGAAACAAGAAGAAACCTTCAAAAGCAAGCTTCAAAAGTCAGCTTTTGCCACAAGCAGGAATATGGTTATCAGTTCAACACTATTCTGACATAAGAATACATATAAAGCTACCTCGATATTTCCAGATGAACACAATAAGCGTATAGATAATGAGTTTTAAATATCTTGGCGTCAATATTACAAGCAGCAGGAACCTCCAGGAAGAAGTTATAGCTTAAAAAACGAAAGGAGCTTTGGTATCAGGTTACCTGAGGGACATAATAGAGCAATGCAAGTATGTATATGTCTCTAAAAACCAAGGTGCTCTAAAGAGCAGAAAATTCTACCACAAAAAAAATCTCAAAACAGCGGAACTGAAGGACACTACCAGAATACGCCAGAAAAGAAATGACCAAGACATTGTGAGATGGGTCCACATAAAAAGACGAGAATTGTGAGAGCATGTTGAGAGTGTGGAAGCCTCCCAAAATGGACTCCCAAAAGCAAACAGACCGGAAAAAATTGGGAAAGCATCATGTATTGGTTAAAAATATGAGAAACGGAATAAATAATGCAAGAAGTGAGACCTAAAGTAAGGCCAGAGAAAAGATGGGAGGAGACGATTGATATTGATGCAAAAGAAATGCTTGTATGCAGAAATTAGAAGAGAGAAAGAAGAGATAGAAAAGTATAGAAGCTAAAATTGAAAGAAACTAAGGTTCGACTGCGAATTGCAGTGATATGCCAAAGTTCACAAATCAGCTAGTGGCCATAAACTAGCGAAACGTCGTATAACAGTTCTTTTCTGTTGCAATGTTTTTGGCGATTATATGATGAAATCATTGGTGATTAAGAAATCAAAATCACCACGCTCATGCAAAACAATAAACATCAAAAATCTTCCCGTCTATTGGATGGCTAATAAAATAGCATGGACCACTGCTATAGCTTTCAATGAATGGTTCCATAACTTCTTTGTTCCTGATGTCAAAAATTATTTAACTAATAACTTAATAAGGGATTGCCATTTAATGCTCTAGGTCATCCTCCAGATTTACAGCATGAAAATGTAAAGCTTGTCTTTTTACTGAAGAATACAACGTATATACAACGTGTATTACAGCCGTTAGATCAAGAGATCATTTCAACTTTTAATGCACTGTACAGGGTGGGCCAAATTGGGCACTTTTTAAAGGGAAACTCCTATTTCTATAAGAGATAGAGGAAAAATGATATCAGTGTCTGATGCTCGATTTTTATAAGAAACTTAATGGAGAAAATCGCATATTGATATCTCTTGCGGTTTCAGAGATACAGGATGTTTTTCAAAAAAGTGCATTTTCGAAAAGTCGTCATAACTTTTTTTTATTGATAAATCCTCTTTTTTGTGAAAACATTTCCAAAGCAACTGTTTATGTAGAATTCGATGGAATAAGTTAGCTTTCCCTCAAAGCAGTATTTTAACAGTTATTGACATAAAAATGATTTATACATTAATTCCATATTAAATGGAACACCTTATAAATTTTTGCAAATTCGACGAGAGCATAAAATTTCCTTTCCAAAAATATGACACTTGATATTTCGTTCAAGTCTTCTTTGAAACATACAGGGTGATTCTCAACCTATACGCATAAACTTGGGTATTTACTCCTCATGACGAATAATGACTAATTTTTTTTTTACTTTCAAATCAAGAATACATAGAACATTTTAAAATAACATCACAGCAATTGTTCGAAGTTATTTCTCATATTTTCTATCAATTAGGCTCCCTGAATTCAAGATCTCACACTAGCGCTGCCTAAAGCAGGGTGTTGGTAGCAGCAAATTATGACGACTTTTCGAAAATGCACCTTTTTGAAAAACACCCTGTATCTAGAAGAATACTAAGAGATATCGATATGCGGTTTTCGCCATTAAGTTTCTTATAAAAATCGAGCCTTATACACTGATATCACTTTTCCTCTATCTCTTATAGAAAAAGGAGTTTCCCTTTAAAAGTGTCCAATTTGGCCCACCCTGTACAGGGTTCCCAAATTTCGATGGGTTTGCAAGGTATCTCAGTTATTATGAAAGATATAAAGTTGCAGCTTTCGCGAATCTGAGCTACTTTTTTGTGAAACTTACAATGGCGCAAACCAAATTTTCATAGCCCTCTTTGTTTTTGATGTACAGGGAGTGTTTGATATTTACGATTTTCAGACACCTCCTGTATCTCGGCTATCCGGAAACTTAGTAGAAAAGTAAAAATGGGTTCTAATAGATTTTTTCACGTGGAATCCAATGGTGCACGTAGAATTTTTCTAGTCATCACGGTTTTCTTCTAAAATATTTAACTCTTTATAAGTCAAAAACCGTGATGACTAGAAAAATTCTACGTGTACCATTGGATTAAGTAAGTTTCACTAAAATGTAGCTCAAGTTCGCGAAAGCCGCAACTTTCTATCTTTCATAATAACTGAGATACCCTGCAAACCCATCGAAATTTGAACACCTGTACATACATGAAGCAAACTTTCATGTTTATCTTAGAACAAATGGAGAATAATGAATCTCTTACTCTGATGGACACTTGGAAGAAATTTACAATTTTAAGCATGTTGGACTTTCATACAGAAAAGCAGTACGACCAGGTGTTGTTGAAAATGAAAACAATGAATCACCAATAGAACATAAATTTCGCAGATTACTGAGTTGGCCCATACCATAGAAGAAGGTTTTGAAGATTATTTAGCTGATCATGAAACAAACATGATGAAGACAATGATTCAGATGCAGAGCAATCTGAACTAGTTGCGTTCACAACAAGAATCATAAACGTAGGACTTTAATTGGGAAGAAAATTGGGCTTCCATTTCATACAATATGACACAAATGTTGATCTAGCTCCCAGATTCCAGCGAGATCTTCGTAAATGCTTAAATCAATATGAAAAAGTCTATAAAAATTTAGCAAAAAAACCTACGCAATTGTTAATTACGAATTTCATGACAAAGTCTTGAGATCCTCCCTAATTCGTCAACTATTGAGCCAGAATCGCATCAAGATAGCTGAAGTGATGAAACTTACAAATAATTATTAAGGGTCTTTTTTTGCTTTACATGGGGATAAGTATAGTTATTTTTTTTTAACCATCCTTCAAAACAATTTACAAAACGAATTAACACAATTACCGTTCCGCTAAACTCCAAATCCTTCCACAATAATTAACTCTAATTGAACAACTAATCGAATTAGTTGGCGTAATTTTTTATTTGCCACAACAGATTGTTAATAGTGCCGCACGCAAGTGAACATCGTCGCAAAAAAATAATAACAAATAAATAGAATGGATTTAGACGATATTTTACCAGAAATCGGTGAATACGGTCGATATCAAAAGTCGATATTATGGTTAGTTTTACTTCCGGGAGTTTTTCCGTGCGGTTTTCACGCGTACAATCAATTATTTATGGCAGCAACACCTGAACATTGGTGTAAAGTCCCCGAATTGAAGCAGATTCAAAGCGAAGAAAGTCGAAATTTAAGGTAATTAATCTAATTCAAAAATAAATTCTATTTGCATTTTTTTATAGTGTTCCTTTAGAATTAGTTAATGGAGTTTTAAAATACAGCGAATGTAAAATGTATGATAGAAACTACACGGATATATCATTAACAATTCAAGATTTCGATTATGATAATGATACCGTACAAATTGATTGTAAAAACGGTTGGATTTTTGATAAATCTTTATATAAACAAACGGTTGTAATGGAGGTAATTTTTATTTTTTTTATAAACAAACCGAAAAATGTTTTTTTTATATTTTAGTGGAATTTAGTTTGTTCGAAAGACTTTTACCCCACCCTTGCTTTAGTATTATTTGGAATCGGGGGATTAATTGGAAATTATATTTTCGGTTACATCCAAGACGGATTCGGCCGAAAACCGGCTTTTTTTAGTTATTTACTTATTCAATGTATATTTGGCATAGCAACAGCGTTCGCGCCAAATTTTTGGATTTGGTTAACTTTTCGTTTTGGAGTTGGATTAACTGTTCCAGCAATTTTAGGAACACCATATGTATTAGGTATGATTTAGAATCCCAATTTATATCGAGTTTTTGAATGAGCACATAACAATTTTGTATAAGCAATAATTTAAACGAAATTTCTTTTAGCAATTGAATTAGTTGGTCCAAAATATCGCACTTTAGTAACAATTTTAATAAACATATCGTACTCATTAGCCTTGGTTTCACTGGCTTTGGTAGTTTGGTTAGTAACTGAATGGAGATTATTAGCTTTGGTTACAACGGCGCCTTTCTTCGTATTATTTTCATTCTGGTGTTTATTACCGGAAAGTCCCCGATGGCTTCTCGCCCAATCAAAATTTTCCGCCGCCGACAGCGTCATATCAAAAATCGCCAAAATCAACGGAAAACCATTACCGACCAATTACATAAATTTACTTAAAATTAAAATCGCCGAGGAACAACGGAAAAAATCGCGGTCGAAAAAAAGTTATGGTATCTCCGATTTATTTCGAACCCCAAATTTACGATGGAAAACGATTATAATCACGTTTATTTGGTTTACGAATACGAGCGTTTACGTGGGATTATCTTATTATGCACCTGCGTTAGGTGGAGATGCTTTTTTAAATTTTTTCTTAGCAGCAGCCGTTGAATTACCAACTTATTTATTTTTATGGCCCGCTATGGAAAATTGGGGGCGAAGATGGTGTCTTTGTGCTAGTATGGTTATTGGAGGATCTGCTTGTTTATCAACGTTTTTAGTTCAACATAGTAAATTTATTTTTTTCAAGGTTATTTTAAAATGGGTCTAAAAGTAAAAATGTTAGGTTAAAAGGTTTTAAGGCAATACAAACCTCAATGCTGCTTTCTTGTAATTAAAGTAACAAACAATATAATCTTTTGGAGATGATAATAATAACAATAATTAAACTTGCTTTTGATTTTATGGCGACATCTAGCGACGAAAAAGTTTCTTCGTAACTGATGATTTTAACCTCCTAAATAAACTAATCCACAAACTTTACTTAGTTGAATAATGTTATTAACATTTATTAGCATTATGTATAAGAAAAAAGTACTCACCTCAGCTGTATTAACGCTGAAAATTTTCTTAAACTTCTAAGTAAAAAGCACAAAACTGTCAAAGTCAACTCAATTATTGGTTGTCACTAATATCCGCTAGATGTCCGAAACGGCTACGTTCATATAAGGTTATCCAACTCCTTATAAACGCTGCTGTTATGAACGTATCCCCCCGCAAAAGCCTTAATGTGACGTCATTGGAAGAATTGACATTTCTATGTTTTTATTTATACAGTGTATTGTATAACTGTGTATACACTGTTTGTCCATGTCAATATAATTTGACATTACATCGATACGAGAATCATTAAACCCGAAGTTAGCAACAATGAAGATAGCAATTTAATTTTTAAATATTAATACCAACTTAATTTTTTATTTTTTGTTTATTATATTTTTGTTTTTGTGACAAATATTACATTTTATAAAAATTAAGAATATGTCAAAATGACATTGACATTTCAAACCGGAAGTTGCTTATATCTCGAGTAATATTGGAATTAAACGTATCATGTTTGGACTCACTTTAAAGGATTTTTCACGACGATTACAAATATGTCAAAATTGACGTTGACATTTTTAACCGGAAGTTGACCATAACTTCATTAAAATTGAAGATAAATATGTCGTGTTTGTACTCATTTTAAAGGATTTTTAATGAAGATTACAAATTATTATATATATTTTTTATATAAAAATTGAGGTTGACATTATAAACCTGAAGTTAGTTATCATATAATAGAAGTTTTACAACTGAAGTTAATGTAGTGTTAGTCACTTTTCCGCACTTTCTTTTTATTTTTAACATGTTTTTTGAAGACGGCTAAAGCCGAATGATTCTAGTTCTAGGTCTAGTGTTAGTTCTAGTTTTACACTATCATTAGAACTAACACAAGACCTAGAACTAGAATCATTCGGCTTTAGCCGTCTTTAGAGACGTGCGGCTAAACCCAAATAATACTAGTTCTAGTTTTAATTCAATAAAAATATAATTAATTAAACTTCTAAAAAACTTATTTCGTTAAGATCGAATCATTTTTTCTTTATAATCCGCCATTTTGTTTTTTTATTATCGAATTTGATTAATCCAACATCGTATTCATGATCTACATTAAATTCTCTTTAAAACGAGCCCAAACTCGATGGGTTTATCTTAAAAGATAACAAACTTCCGATTGTCACTCTTTTGAGGTTATGTCAAAATTAAATGTTGGATATCTCGGGTGTTTTTTGAGATAATTGGGTCGAGTTTGGACTCGATTTAAAGGATTTTTAATTCCCCACCCGATTATGAACAAAAAAAGAACCTAACCTCACTTTGTAATCGTCAAATTAATATTGTTTGATATTTTTCGCCATCTTGATTAATAATTTTAATTAAATAATAATAAAATTCTTTATTTTTAGATCTAAAAATACCCGGCGAATTTAATTTCGTTGAAATCGAATCATTTTTTTTTAAATCATCCTCCATTTTGTTTGTATTACTATCGAATTTGATTAATCTAACATCGTATTCGTAATCTACATTAAATTCGCTTTAAAATGAGCCCAAACTCGGTCGAGTTATTTCAAAAAACAACAAACACCACCAACTTCCGGTTGTCACTTTTTTGAGGTTATGTCAAAATTAAATGTGGGATATCTCGGGTGTTTTTTAAGATAATTGGGTCGTGTTTGGACTCAAATTAAAGGATTTTTAATTTCCCACGTGATTATGCACAAAGATAAAACCTAACTTCAAACTTAACAGTGTTTTATTACAAATTTTAAACTGTTAGTACATTTTATTATTTTAGTACCAAATATAAACTAATTAAATTCCTTAATTTGTTATTTTAAAAGAATTTAGACTCGTTTTAAAACATTTTTAAACATCCTCATTAAATTTAATATTAAATATGCTTAATTTTTAGATTCCATGGTAACTTTAGGGCTTTATTGTGTGGGTAAAATGGGAATTTCATCGTCGTACGTTGTGCTTCCATTGATGGCATCCGAATTATACCCAACGGTTGTTAGAGGATTAGGAATTAGTGTTAGTACTGTTATTGGAATGATTGGGCCTGTTATAATCCCTTTAGTTAATTATTTGGTATAAATGTTGGCAATTTCGACTTATTTTTTATTACAAATAAAAATTTTAGGGTTCCGATATGTTAACTTTACCTTTAATAATAATGGGAACGATGTTAGTACTCGGAGGACTCAGTTCTTTATTATTACCAGAAACTTTAAACCAACATCTTCCTCAAACTCTCGAAGATGCAGAAAAGACCGGATTAGATTGTGGATTGTGCTTTAATGTGAATCAATAATGAACAAAAACATTTTTAGTTTCAATTTATTATTAAAATCATAATTTAGAGTTAAAATTAATTTAATTTTTGCATGTAAAGAAATAAAGATAAAAAAGATTAAAAAATACTTTTTAACGAGTATCCAATCAAACGGTTTTTATCTAATCTACTAAAATACATAACAGGTGCACATACTTTTGTGGGCATTACTTTGATAATCCTCTTTAAAGAATGATCATAATCGCGATTTCGATAATTGTGTCCATATTCACAACGATTTTTTTACGAAATCGAAAGTTGGGAAAAGAAAAAATATTAAACGTGTATAGTTCCCCAGGAAAATGGTACCTAATCAAGTACTTAACAATGCTAATTCTCTTCCAATTACGAAATTTATCCTCAAAATTAAAACCTGGAAAAGCTGGAATAGGATATGGAACGAAGAAGCTTGAGGATATCGAAAAATTACAACCATTATCGCAAGAAAAAAAAGCGTTTGATGCCGTTTTTTACCAAGGAGTTAATTCTAGTGGTTATTACTTCGCTGGTGGGATTGAAAGGAGGCCCAACTCAAAAGTGAATGGACTCGTTTACTTGTTAGTACCTGAACTTGGATTACTCGAAAGCGAAAGTTTACCAAAAACCGAATTAAATGCGGATGAAACGGAAAATTCTTTTGCTGGAGGTGGAATTAGTTTTACTCCTGTTGTACCAATGAAAAAATGGGATATTTATTACAAAGGTCGTATGTGGTAAGAAAAAAAATGTATTATTAAATTAAGCGTTATTGCTTCATTTCATGCTATAGGCTTGGACCTGAATCTAATAAAACTTGGTACAATGTCGAATTAAAAGCTGAATTCACCTCGGATATGCCTCATTTTGTTGTCGATTCAGATGCTGACAAAAAATGTTTAGCGAGGGCAATCGCCCGAGAAACTTGGACAAAAGAATTTTTTAAAACCCTCGAAAAGTAAATCAATAAATAACTCAATACATAATTCTTTTTAAACTAATTTTTAGATCGCATCAAACTCATTATGAACAAATGGGGAACATTACAGGAAAAGTTATCATAAACGAGAAAGAACACATTTTAAATTTACAAGGATTTAGGGATCATAGTTTTGGTAAAAATATTTTTATTCTTTTATCAAATTTGAATTTGTGTATTTTTTAGGACATCAGCGAGATTGGACTTTATTACACCGTTACATTTTTCATATGTTGTATTTGGAGAACGATGTAAGAATTTGCATCGGTGTTATTAGCCAACCATGCACAATTTCTCATTTTGAAATCGGTTACGTTCTCAATCCTAAAACCAAGGAGATTCACCCCGTTCAAAGGGCTGATTTAAAATTGTATCAACACGGCGAAGATGGTGAACCTCCTAAAAGTATTGCGTTTACTTTTAATGCAAACGATGATAAATACGATTGCAAAATCGATTATTTACCTTACAATGGTGTTCATTATAAAGGAAATGATATCGAAGCAAAGTTAATTGAAAGATTTTTTGTTGGGGAGGTGAATGGGGTTAAATGTCGAGGTGTAAGTGAATGGCATTATAATAATGTAGGTACATATACAAAGTAAATTCCTGTTTTAATTATAAAAATATATTTCTAACTAACTTCACTATTAGTATTTATATTCTTAACACACTCACTAGTTAACCTAAAAATTAAAGCAACGTGATGTTTTTAAACACTTATATACAACTAATTAAACGCGAATATAGTATATTTTATGTAAATCCAGGAAATTTGTAATATTTTAAATTAAATAGATTTGAAAATTAATTTGAACCTAACTTCACTTGTATTTTTGTTCTTAATGTCAATCAACTTTCAAATTTACTCAAGTTGTAAAGTAAGGTTATGTGTGTAAAATAAAACCTAAATAAATAACATGCGATGGATATTAAGTTTATATGGAAATACATCTAATATTGAAGAATTAGAGGATGCCTCAAATGCTTTTAATGTCGAGGAAATCGAAGAAGAAGAAATCCATGAAAAATTTGAAAATAAAGAAGGTGATTGTTATTTCAAAACAGGGAAAATAACAAATATTACAGAAAAGGAGATTATAATCGATGATAATTACACATTTCCTTATGATAGTGATTTCGAAATGAACCAATTAGTTTCATACACAACATACTTTGAAGATGATCTGGAAAAAGTAGCTAACCTAAAAATTATTGAAGATGATTTGAGCACAAGGAAAATTAATAAACAAGCAACCTGGTGTTTTTAAACACTTATATATAACTAATTAAACGCGAATATCGTATACTTTATGTAAATCCAGGAAATTTACAATATTTTAAATTGAATAGATTTAAAAATTAATTTGAACCTAACTTCACTTGTATTTACGTCCTTAATGTCAATAAACTTTCAAATTCACTCACGTTGTAAAGTAAGGTTATGTGTGTAAAATAAAACCTAAGTAAATACGATGAGATGTTATTAAATTTATTTGGAAATACATCTAATATTGAAGCATTAGAGGATGCTTCAAACGCTTTTAATATCGAAGAAGAAAACTAAGAAAAATCTGAAAATAAAGGTGATTGTTATTTCAAAACGGGTAAAATAACAAGTATTACAGAAAAGGAGATTATAATCGATGATAACTACACATTTCCTTATGATAGCGATTTCGAAATAAACCAATTAGTTTCACACATAACATACTTTCAAGATAATCTGGAAAAAGTAGCTAACCTAAAAATTATTGAAGATGATTGAAGTGTAAGGAAATTTGATAAACAAGCAACGTGGTTTTTTTAAATACTTATATACAACTAATTAAACGTGAATCTCGTATACTTTATATTAATCCAGGAAATTTGCAATATTTTAAATTAAATAGATTTAAAAATTAATTTGAACCTAACTTCATTTGTATTTTTGTTCTTAATGTCAATAAACTTTCAAATTCACTCACGTTGTAAAGTAAGGTTATGTGTGTAAAATAAAACCTAAATAAATACGATGAGATGGTTATTAAATTTATTTGGAAATACATCTAATGTTGAAGCATTAGAGGATGCCTCAAACGCTTTTAATATCGAGGAAATCGAAGAAGAAGAAGAAAACCAAGAAAAATCTGAAAATAAAGAAGGTGATTGTTATTTCAAAACGGGGAAGATAACAAATATTACAGAAAAGGAGATTATAATTGATGATAATTACACATTTCCTTATGATAGTGATTTCGAAATAAACCAATTAGTTTCATACATAACATACTTTGAAGATGATCTGGAAAAAGTAGCTAACCTAAAAATTATTCAAGATGATTGGAGCATTACGGAATCTAATAAACAAGCAACATGGTGTTTTAAAACACTTATAGTACAACTAATTAAACGCGAATGTCGTGTACTATACGTAAATCCAGGAAATTTACAATTAAATTTAAATAATGTTAAAACAGAATTTATTCCAATAGAAGGAGATTGGTTACAAATCGAAGCCAAATGCATTCTTGATGAAACCGAACGTGATTTAAATAAAAAAGTAGTTGAAGTGGTTAAAATAAACCCTTTACGGCCTAAAATTATTGAAGGTGTTGTTAAAAAATGGAATCAATTTGATGGGGAAGGCCAAATTAATTCAAACATATTTTTTAATCGTGAATCTCTTTGTATGGGGTTTTCACCAAAAATTGGTGATAAAGTTATAACCGAGATTATTGAAAGTGAACAAGATAGGTGCAATTGGAGGTCTATTAAGATTATACCAAATTCACATGGAAATTTTGGTCTAATTAATAAATTTAAAACTCAACGAGAAATTGAAGATGACAATATTGAAATTGATGATGAAGTTAGCATTGATTTTTGTTATTTAAACGAAGAAAAATCGTTTCGATTTCGAATTAAAAATAAAAAGGATGTGGATGTAATTTTGAGTGGGGTTGAAACTCAAAATTTAGGGGGATTTATTAAAATCGAGTACCCCAATGAATTTCCTTTAACGATTAAAAAAGATGAAGAAATTTTTTTAATCGGTTCATTAAGAATTAACACAGCTGGGAATTCAAGAGAATCGATTACTTTTCGATTTGAGGATACAATTTATGTCCGAACTTTAAATACAACTTTATTAAAAAATGATTATCATCCCAGACAACGAAACAACTTTAACAAACAAGAATTACTTTTTAAAGCGAGGAATTTTCGCGAAATCGATGGAAATTACATTAGAGCGTCTCGTTCGAACACAACAAAACGATTTATACCAATAAAAATTCCCCCATACAATATCCCCGAGAAATTATGGAACATTTTATTACAAAATAAACCCAAAGAAGAAATTATAGACGATTTAAAAAAAAATAAACACGTTTTAAACGAGCCTTTAGCGTTCCAATTTTACGAGGATCGTTTCCACACTTTATTATACTTGGAAGAAATCGCCGAATTAATTGCAATAAGAAAATACGATCGAGATCAAACCCCGTTTATAAAAAACGGTGAATTTTTAATGTTAGAAATTGAAAACTTAATCGAACAAAGACCTTCAATTATGGTAGGCGATACAATAATCATAAAAGACTCTTATAACGCAAATTCAACTTCATTCGAAGGAATTGTCGAAAAAGTCGGCGCAAAACATTTATATTTAAAATTTCACGACTCATTCCATAACGGTTATAACGGCGAAGATTACTCGATTCAAGTAAAACCAGCTCGAATGAAATTAAAAAGATTACATCACGCCGTGTCTTTGGCAGTGCGAAATTTGGCAAGGGAAATTTTATTTCCCACTAAAATCATTGTTAAATCACCCCAAGTTAATTTTATCGAACCAAATCGATTAATACAAAACGAGAAAAATGATTTACAATTAAAATTGGAATGGTTTAATCAAAAATTAAATGACCACCAAAAAATTGCAGTGAGAAATATCTTACATGGCGTGTGTCGCCCAATGCCGTACATTATTTTTGGACCCCCCGGAACGGGAAAAACGATAACTTTAGTCGAGGTGATCTTACAAACTTTAAGAATGATTCCTCATTCGAGGATTTTAATTGCAACTCCTTCGAATAGTGCTGCGAATTTGATTACAACCAGACTTATTGAGTCCGGTGTTGTTAATCCGGGGGATTTGGTGCGATTGGTTGCTTATAAATGTCTTGTTGATGGCACAATTCCGCAACATTTAGCACCGTTTTGTGCCGTTGTTTCAAATAAACAAAATAATGTTGAGAGTGTTACAACAAATGGATTGGTTTTAGGAGTTGATTTTTCTACAATTGGACGTCATAGAGTTACAATATCCACTTGTAACACATTCGGAGCTTTATTTCAACAAAAATTTGATAAAGGACATTTTACACATATCATGATAGATGAAGCGGGGCAAGCGACCGAACCCGAAATAATGATCCCAATGAGTTTTTTGGATTTACACAATGGACAGTGTGTTTTAGCAGGTAATATTTTATTTAGCCCTTAACTGGCGTCAAGTAAGACATTATTATGAGATAGTATCACTTATGAATAAGCGATGTATGATAAGAAATTTAAAGATGAAAACATAACAAAGATGTAAAAAGACATAAAAAACGCATCACCTAAAATCATGACCGGTTTCAAACTTTAATAACTTTTGAACTTATTCCTCGATTTGAATAAGGTTTTTTTTATTTGAAAGGTCTACTCTTTGCCAATATTTCTGTAGGCGCCTTCCTCATTTTAGCGCTCTTTAATTTCATCAATGGTGAATAACGCTAATGCGTGTTATCTTCCTACACTTTGAAGCTTGGCGCTCTTCAATTTCAGCAATGGTGCGTGTTTCTTCCACACATTTTGAAGCTTGCTGTGGGGTGCACCGACAAAAGAAAATAATTTTAATCATAACAGGCTTGTAGTCTCGTCTGTTCAGATCACTTCTGTTTTTTGTTCAAGTTTCTACACCAAAGTTACAGTCGGTACGATATTTGTTGAGCCAAAATTTCCAAAAAGGAAAAAATCAATGATGTTCTATTCTCGGAAAGCAACGGTTATTCACGGCTTGATATTTGCAAACAGTGGCGTACCTTTAAATTTTCCACGTTATTTCTCGAATATTTTTTGCACTTTTGGTGAATATCTCAGAATACACATTTCTTGCAATAAAATAATAACGNCCGCTCCCCTCAGCCCGGCAGCAATAATACCGTATTTTCTCGAATGTAATCCGCACCTTTTTTACAAATTTTATGTGCTCTAAAATCAAATGCGGATTACAATCGGGTGCGGATTAGATTCGCAGTCGTATAGTTGCAATTTGGAAAATAGTAAAATAAAATCACATTATAACAATAATACTTTATTAAGGGTTTTAGAACGATATTTACATTTTTATGTATCATTTTCTTCCCATATTACGTCATCTTCGGATTATACGAAACTTCTTAAATGATGTTATAATATTGTTTTCAGGGATCGTTTTTCATGTCGCCTACACTCACTGAGCAAGTTCAGAAGCTCCTTTAATTGCTCCCGGTTTTGTTAATTCTCGAGTTTGTATACATATGTATACATACACAGGGTGTAGTATGGATGTTATTCCACCAGGTATTATTATTATGACAAGAAGTCTAAACCCAGATCAATTAATCAGTCTATGATTAATTAATACACTTATTTAATAATCCTCCTGGTCTAAGACTCCATACTTGTCTTAATCACTCCATCATCAGCTTTTCAATTATCCATCCTTTTTTTTGTGCCCTAACTAGGACGTCATTCGGGAAGTCTTTCAGATTTCAGAATGGTTTTTTTCTCAATATCAATAATGACAGCAATTTTTCCCTATCACTTGTTACTGCTGCCATCAATGTTATGCGCAATTTTTCGCAACCACTCGTTTATAAAGAAATTTCACACACCCCTCTTCTTTCCAGTGTGTAATTGGGTGGCATATTCAGATATACTACCATTTCGTTGACATTTCCAGTTTGAGACAAATTGAAATTTTCTTGAAAATCATTAGGAGCTTTTGGGAAATTGTAGTTCTGCGCCTCAACGATAACACCATTCGGCGCATAAATCCCACAGTCCAACCTTAGCTAGTATTAAAAATTTTTTAGTCCCTCCTTTCGTTTTTCTTGAGAGAACTAGAAAACTGCCTCGTCAATTTCATGAAATCGTCTCTTCTTTGGCCCGGTAAATTTTTTGCACGATGCCTCACAGTCTCCAATAGCTACCTGGTCTTTCCGCAACAGCTGCAACGTTACTCTCGTTATCAGCAAAAATTGTACCAGCTTTTCGATTTCCTTAACGCTAACTTAATAACATCTCTTTAAACTTTGCTGTATAGAAGAACCTTTTAGATTTTTGCTACATTTTTTTATAATTACCCTATTATATGTATAATTATTAATTAAGCACACACCACGTTCGAGCTACTACTAGGGCAGTATATGAACGGAATTCGTGCTAGGCATTACTATTTATTTTTAAAATTATATTTATTTTCCAATTTTTTCTGGCTTGGTAAATTTAAAGTCTAGTCTAATAAAAACTCGTCGTAAGCAAGGTTTCTTTAGGTGCATCAGCGTCAGTCAACGGAAAAAATATATATTTATGGTTAACAACAAGCATCGCATCGTTTTGGTGTTGTCGAATTGCTCAAAGAAAGATGCGGATTACATTCGCAAACTAAATTTTTTAACCACTATGCATTTTTAAAACCGGGGTGCGGATTAGATTCGAGTGCGGATAAGATTCGAGAAAATACGGTACATTTCTTGCAATAAAATAATAACGCAGCTCACTTACCTTCAATTTTTTTTTATATAAACGACTAAAACACTTTCTTGTACACGCACTTCAAATCAAGCAAACTGTGCACTCACAAATTACCCCCACACGCCTACAAATCAGTACTGGTGATAAGTACACATTACCGATACCTAAAACAACGACCTAATGGTGGGAGTGAAGGGTTTAGAGGTGTCATTTCTTTTTCCCAAGAGGTTTTTATATTGATCTATAAATAGATTGCTGGTCGCTAAAGGGTTAATGACAGCTCGTGTGGTTATGCCATATTTCTTCTCTTCTTGAGATAATCCTAAGCTGTCAGTGCCCTTTCCACAATATAAATTGTACGACAGCTTGTGTGGTTATGCCAAATTTCTTCTCTTCTTGAGATAATCCTAAGCTGTCAGTACCCTTTCCACAATATAAATATGTATTGTATATGTAACTGGCATCTGCAAGGCACTGTAATTTCAACCCGTACTTTGCCGGCTTTGTAAACAGCCTGTACATGCCTTACAGGGTGTTTCAAATTCGATGTTCAAATAGGCTATCTCCGAAACTATAAGAGTTAGAAAAAAAGTAGCTTACATGTCATGATCTCGTTTTTCGAGAAACTGCTAATGCCGAAAACCTCATAGCGCTATCGTCTTTTGTTTTTCCCCTAGAGGCCAAAATTGGAAATATCGTAAAACCAGCAAGTGCAATTATCTTGGTTATTATTATAGGTGGAGTATTATAACTAAGACATTATATGGACACTTTTTTACAGAGAATTTGATGACGTAGTCAAAAAAATTTTGTCGGTTTTAGATTTTGAGATATTATCACAATTTTCGTTTTTTTAAATGGAAACAACCACTGATTATTCGCTTATTAAATTCGTTATTTTTTTCTGATTACAAAAATATAGGGTTCGACAGGTCTATTTCTTATTGTTTTAGAATAAAGCCAAAAATAAACTTTTTTTTTAAATTTCCATCTAGTGTCATCGACGAAATTAAATTTACAGTTTCCTGTAAATTATGGTACTATAACTAAAAATTAAAAAAACAAATTTCTGATGTTTGAAACAAATAAATTTGTTGAACTATTTAATTTATATATGTTTTACACAAAAGTTGGAATAGATTGCATTATTTCACATTTTTTATTAATATTTAATATTATTACAGGATTTTTAAAGTGACACTTTTTGAATACAAACAAATGTTGCTATGTTTATTTGAATTCAAAAGAAAAATATATGAGCGCCATCTATCAATAATTTATTAAGTCATTTAATAATAATATTAAATATTAATAAAAAATGTGAAATAATGCAATCTATTCCAACTTTTGTGTAAAACAAATATAAATTAAATAGTTCAACAAATGTATTTGATTCAAATATCAGAAATATGTTTTTTTAATTTTTAGTTATAATTTACAGAGAACTGTAAATTTAATTTTTTTAACGACACTAAAAAAAGTTTATTTTCAGCTTTATTCTAAAACAATAAAGTATATATAATAAAGTATCCTCGTGATTTGATTTCAAAATAACTGTATATATAAGCAACCCAATGAAACACTTTACTTCTTCACCAGTTCATTGTTTCAGTTCTGTTCTTGAAGCATCAGAATATTTAGCTCTGATTCATTCAAGCGAGTAACTTGTTGCAACATCTCATCATCAAATATACAATTCCAACCAGCAATTGGCTCGACTTTTGTTACTTTGGATTTTACGATTGGTATTTTTACAATATTATGGTGCGGTGTTCTTACATTTCTAGCAGGTGGAGTTGCTGACCATTTGAATCTCTTTCTTCTGTAGAAATACTTTTGTGCAACACCTTGTTCACTAATTGCTACATTATCCGGTTCTTCGTCAGTAGATTGAGCGGAATCGGTATTATGTTCGTTTAGAACACAATTTTCTTCATCTTGATCAGATAATTCCACATCAGAGTCAAGAAACTCAAACATCCGTAAAACTCTAAATTTGGATCATCAAATCTAACACAACTTGGAATAGATTTTAGTGCATTTCTTTACTCTAAGGGTTAATTAAAAAAAATAATTATAATTTCGTTTTAATGTAGGAGATCCACAACAATTAGGCCCACAAACGAATTCGGATATTTCAAAAGAATTCGGTTTAGATGATTCGTATTTGGATCGATTAATCAGTCGCTTTCCTTACATTCGAGACACAATCGGTTTTCCGGAAACTGGTGGTTATGATCAACGTTTCGTCACGAAATTGTTAAATAATTACCGATCACTTCCCGGAATTTTAAACGTTCCTAATAATTTATTTTATCATTCAGAATTGATACCAACTGTAAGTATGAATCAAATTTTTTTTTTTTAGGTTAGAATTCTCATTTTGACATTTATGTCATCTTAGAAACGTCAAATTTAAAATTTTTTATTTATTACAGATAAATACAACAAATAGTCCCCAAATTGAATTATTAAACAAATTAAAACCGATTTTACCAAAATCAATCAAAACCGATTTATTCCCTTTTATATTTCATGGGGTAAACGGAATAAATCTTCAAATGAATGATTGTCCGTCGTGGTATAATCCGGATGAAGTTAGCCAAGTTTTCTTTTACATCAATCAGTTGTATAGCTGTAACGTTCCTTACACAGATATTGGAGTTATTACCCCCTATATTAAGCAAGTGAAAGAAATAAGAAGCGTTTTAATACAAGCCGATTTTGATGTTCCTAAAATTGGGACGGTTGAGGAATTTCAAGGACAAGAATTTCCGATTATAATTTTATCGACGGTTCGTTCTAATCAAGATATGATAAGTACCGATGTGAAACATCATATTGGATTCGTTGGTCAAGCTAAAAGAATGAACGTTGCTTTAACTCGAGCTAAAGCGTTGTTGGTAATTATTGGAAATCCACATTTATTGATGCAAGATGTGTCTTGGAGAGAAGTAATTTCATATGCTATTGAAAATAAAGCTTATATTGGATGTCAATTACCGTAATTGTTATGATGTTTTTTTTTAGATATTTGAAACAAATTATTAATTAAATTTAATACTTTTTTAGGTTTATGACTCTAAAACGATTAAAAGTTTCTTAATTAAATGCAATAACTAAATATGCGTTGAAAAATAATGTTTGTGTTGTATCTACAATAAAATTGAATTCTTTTAAACCTGAAAGTGATAACCATTTGTAATTTTTGAACTATTTCATGTAACACCTCAATTTAACAGTTATTTTTAAAGCTAAATAGTGATCTAGAAAATCAAAGTATTCTAAATGTTTATAAATAACATTATTGACGTAAACGCAATGAAAATGTTTGATATTATTGATCATTCTTAGAAAGATTTGGCTATTCCATGTATTTTAGTATGGCTTGTACATAATGCAGTCTTCGTGCCAGATTATTCAACTTTTGGATTCCATACAATTTCATAGTTACAGTACATATTCAAAAAAGCAACTAGTTAGTATGTTCCCTAAAGCTTAACGACTCATCCATGATCAGCCCGAGGTTTTTGACAGACTTTCTCAATGAAATAGGAGTATTTTTTATCGACAGGTGATAAAACTCATCAATAAATTTTTCTTTTAACTTCGGGGGCCCAAACAATTAATTAATTAATTTCTTGAAGGATCCTTTTGGAAATATCACCAATTATTAATTAAAGTATCTTCTTTTTAATGCAAAGAGCCGTTTTGAAAAATCACTTTTAGTTCTTGAGAAATAAATTTTTGAAATCATCGAAAATTTTTTCGAATTTTGCAATTTTCGCCGATTAAGTTTTAAAAATTCGTATAAAATCGATTTCTTGGAATATGAGTGTGAAAATTTTCCAAAATGTTAATAAAAGTGTCCTCTTTCTAATGAACCAACCCGTTTTGAAAAATAACTTTTGGTTTTTGAGAAAACAATATTTGAAGTTTTGATAAAATTTTCGATGTTTCAATTTTCATCGATAATGTTCAAAATTCCCTATAAAATTAATTTCTTGAAGGATTCTTGTGGAAATATCACCGATTATTAATTAAAGTATCCTCTTTTTAATGCAATAAGCCGGTTTGAAAAATCACTTTTAGTTCTTGAGAAATAAATTTTTGAAATGATCGACAATATTTTCGAATTTTTTATTAATTTCATTTTTATCAAAATCACTATCCGTTCCATCACTAGTTTAGAGTATCGAATGTTATGGAGAAATCCAACATCTCCAGAAGAGTCAATCTATTAGAGTCAGTTGCAGTAAGAATATCATCCACTATATTGTTAAGAGCAGTTTCACAGCTATGTCCTTTCCTGAAAGCAGTCTGATTCACTGGAGCAATGCGCTCAACCTCCAAAAACTCTGTCAGTTGTCTCTTAACTATATTTTCCAAAACTTTTGATAAGGAATACAAAATGCTATGGGTCTTAGGCATGAGTATTCGTTTGGACTTGGTACCTTTGGTACCGGTATCATGATGGACCTTTTCCAGATTGAAGGGAAACCTTCTAAAAGACAAGTATTGATAATACTTCTTTATATGAGGTAAGATTACAGGACAAGCCATTTTTATAAATTTAATAACAATACTATCAGCACCCATAGCATTTGATCGTATATTACGTGATTCAGCTAAAATATCCTATATCATGATAATAGTGATGAGTGGAATGGCGGCATTTTTGGCGGTTTGGATGGCGGAAGTAAGGATGGAAACTTCATTCGAGATGTGGAATGGAATTGATGAAGGTAGTGGGGCACTTGCAATTAGGGTTGTTCGATAATGGAACATTCGCACGAGTTAAGTTAGTTTAAATAAATACAGATACATCAAATGCAAAAAAAAAACGCAACCGACGAGGATGGGATTCGAACCCACGCGGGCAGAGCCCATTGGATTAGCAGTCCAACGCCTTAACCACTCGGCCACCTCGTCTCATGTAAAACATCTTCTTTTAACGTCTCAAATCAGTTATAATAATTATAATACCTTATATTAATATTATAATTATTATACCAACATATTTTAATAAACATCATTTCCCCTAAATAAATTCCCTAAATTACGATACGTCAAAAATGACAGTTCCGCATTTTTACAAAAAAATTAATTTGCAAAATAATTTTTATAAAGCAAAATAATTCGGTAAGTAAACAAAATTTTATTTATTATTTGAAACATTTTAAAATTATCCATTTTATTTTTTAGATAAAAATCGAGATAAATTATAAATTATTACAATCAAACGCGCCATCTAGTGTTAAATAGTCGCACCTAAAATAATAATTAATAATCACCAGGTTACGCTTTGTTGTAAAGAAACTCTAAAAATAGCTAAAATATAAAAAGTAAATACTTAAAAAGAAGTAATGAAATTAATCAAGAATTAGTTAGATCAATAATAACGTTTTTATAAAAATGAAATTAATTAAAAATTTAATCGAGAGTGCCATCTAGTTTTATATAATTAAATTATTAAAAATTTTAAATAAATAAATAATTAATTAAAATAAATAGAATAGTGAAATAAAAAAACTTTATCGTTAATAATATTCATTAGATGTTTTTGCAACAAATTAAAACATCTTATTTTGAACGCAATAATGACAGGCGCAACATAAAGCCAAAATACCTTCCGAATACTTTTATAATTCATAATGACATTTATTTTTAGATTCCTCGGCTGCGTTTATCGCTTTGACTATTATTAAAAGATATCCAGATTGTCGGATCGATAATGCGAATATACAGTCTTAAAGTAATATTTAACCCTATCTTATGTATGTGGTTTTCTTTACGTGCGAATTTAATTTGAAATTTAATTCAAACTATTAAATTAAACTCGTCTTTGGTTTTATCTGAGTGTTACGGTGGTCTTTTGATAACATCTGACACATGTAGATTGCCAAAGGCTTAGTTTTATTTTTAGGAAAGCAGTTATTTGGCTCTGTGCGCTTTTGCCACTATATTATTGCACTGTACTCGCAGTAATAGTCGTGCATCGGTTGTCGCCACCCGCACTTAAATTTATTTAAACGAGTCTCGAACGAATAAAATATAAATCACTTTTTTTTTCGGTTTTATTTAAAAAAAAGCGGTTCAGTGAAAGCTAAAAGAACAACAACATGTCGTCCGGTCGTACTTTAACACCCCTTATTTACCGTTATTACGGATTAAATGTGCGCCATTTATCATCATCTTCCAGCGTTTTATCGGCGTCGTCGTCGTCCTTTGCGACAGCATGGGATATAAAACATAGAACAGCTGATGGTTGCGGTAGTCATAAGTCGTTCAACAATCAAACCGTGCGCACCATGGCTACAAATCGAACAGCTTTAACCATCGATAATATGAACCCACAAATTAAGGTTATGGAGTACGCCGTTCGTGGGCCTCTTGTTATAAGGGCCGCTGAACTCGAAAAGGAACTAGCTAAGGTAATATCCCATACCAATTCTATCTTTACATTAAGAGGTTATTCGTTAGCATATTAAGTATCCGTTATACTGGTTTTACATAACATCTGTTAACGTCATACGAACAAACAGATCATTTATAAATAATTCTACTTAAAAACGAAAAACAATCGTTTTGTTTTCAAAAAACAATTATAACCTTATTTTTTTTGTTTTTGGTTAAATATGTTATGTGAAATAAAATTTAAACGTAATCAAAAAGAAAATTTAATTTAGGAAATATAATTTGATAAGTTGTGAAAATTATTGATAATTTTTAAGTTAAATTAATGTTTAAGTTTTCATTAACAAGTTAGGTTATGTTGCAAAAATGGGAAATGTCAAATTTGACGTTTAAAAAATTTGTTTCATTTTTAAACACTTTGTGTGTTTATAAAATACAACTTATTAACTATTTTTTAATAAAATAGTTTTAACCTCAATAAAACATTGAGAGGTTATAAGTTTTATCGAATATTTACATTAAAGTGATAAACTTTTTTGTTTTTAATGTCTGAAGTGGCTATAATCTTTAATCTTTTTCTTATTTAATTATTGATCTATATATTATTTATATAATACAACATTCGATATTTAAAACTAAAATTTCATTTAGTTTTATTGTTAGTGTTTGTTGTGACGGGTCTCAGATTGAATTATTAATTAGCACACTCAAAGTCCAACATTGCGTTCAACATCCACTGTTTATCACATTTCAAAACTGGTTTATTTCAAACACGTTTTTATAATCAATTTGGGTCTATAGCCAAATATTTTCTTTATTTATTAGACCTTGGTTCAAATATCTTTATTTATTCTTATTAAAGTCAATTATTTCTTTTTAGGAATTTTACCGCTAGATGGCAGGATGTATTTTGACATAATTATTTCAAAATTTCTTTTACACAATTTTGTAACGAAATAAAAGATTATTAATTCAATATCATATTATAATACAATATAATTTGGGTGTATAGCCAAATATTTTTTTTAATTATTCTTATTAAATTTAATTAATTTTTTTTTGGGAATTTCACCACTAGATGGTAGGGTGTATTTTGACATAATTATTTCCAAATTTCTTTTACACAATTTTGTAACGAAATAAAAGATTATTAATTCAATATCATATTATAATGCAATATAATTTGGGTGTATAGCCAAATATTTTTTTAATGATTCTTATTAAATTTAATTAATTTTTTTTGGGAATTTCACCACTAGATGGCAGGATGTATTTTGACATAATTATTTCAAAATTTCTTTTTTACACAATTTTGTAACGAAATAAAAGTTTATTAATTCGATATCATATTATAATGCAATAAAGCCCTACTCGGCCTCACACCACTTAATTTATATATACAAAAAGAGGCTTATCACAGAAAATATGCTCTTCACCCAAGGTGATACAGAGTAACCTCAGAGTACACCTCAAAATCTTCAAGTCAACACATCTAAATCACTTGATGGAAATTAAAACGGACCTTATACCGACAGAATACAATTTCGGCCAGCCGTATAAGGTCATATTTAGAAGCAGGGATGATTAGAAGAAGAGTGGGCCTCAACTAAAAGGAGGAGCCCTTGCCTGGTACATAGATGCTTCAAAGACAGTTGGATCCGGAGTAGGCATGGGTATTAGTGGACCTAATAACCGCATTAAATTGCCCCTCAGCTCGGATATAACCATTTTTCAAGCAGAAGTTCTTGCTATAAACTTCTGCACCGCTTTGAACCTACAAAAGGGACAGAAAAATGCATCTATAAACATTTTGATAGACAGTCGGGCCGCCCTAAAGACAATTCAGGCCTAAATTGAAGTGATTGTGATGAAAAAGTTACTATAAACAATAATACAGCGTTTTTATATTGACATTAAGATTTTCAATTATTAATTAGATGGGGCAGAGAAAAGTCTCAAGTATCCAGCGGACTCTCTACTGCATCAACACAACATCTGATTACCCCAAGCGGTTAAAATTTTGACAAGTTTTACACTGGACAAACCATAATTAAGGAAGAATATGAAAAGTGTGACTAATAATTCCCCATAAAATTGAACTACACAAAAATATAAATACTCTTTTTGGCTCCAACGTCATGGAGAAAGAAATAATCCGATGCATTATGAGTAAAGATAAATATGCAGTTATTTTAGCATGTCTTAGACCTGATAATCCAAAAGATAAGATAATGAGAGGCTCGGAAAATCCAGTTACTGCTATCTATATCTGTAATATTTGATACTATAACAAAGAACTGTTAAAAAATCTTTTCAATACGTGCTATTACACGCATAGATAAAATGTTAGGTAATAATTTATTATCGTAAAGATTTAATAATTACGACGATTAACTAATTGAATATAGATTATAAAATAACTCAAGTCAATTCAACTATAGCAAATAATGAAGAGATATCACACTCATCAGCGATAACCATGTCACGCTTTGAATTAGAAATTATCTAAATGATTATAAAGCCTTGTCCAAAACGATTTCAGAAAAGATGTTGTGGTTGTAATTGACATTTGCAGATAATTTTAGATATCCGGATACACAGTATTTGATTTTACTCTTAAAAGAGTATGAAGTGACATAGTTCTTACATCAATGTTGGTGTTTTGGATTAAATATTTAAAGGTTTAAATCAAAAAATTTACTGCTTTTAGAGGGATTTCACCAACTCTGTTGTTTACCATACAGCTTCTAGAATGTATTTGTATTATATAACACATTGGAGGACATTATGAGAAGTCTTTGGGTGCTCGTCTTTCTGTGAGTCGTAAAATATAATCTTTTAATTTTGTTTCTGAAGAAGATTGCATCCAAAACATCAAACTGTGCTTTAATAAATTCATGGAATAGCCCAGACGTTTCTAATTTAAGTGTTATTTCTTTCCGTTTTTCTCTCAAATCCTGTAAACGAGCATATTTTTACACAATTACTTCATTATATGCAAGAAAGTATGCCGAAATCTTTATTTTCTGATGGTCTGAAGGTGTACTCGAGGTTGCTGATACAAATCAGCAACTATCAAGTTTGAAGAAGCTTTTAAAAATTAGGAATTCAATTGAATACAAATATAGTTGACATATATTCAACCTAACCTAAAACAAATTTGGTTACAAATTTTTATAAACATCTCCTAAAAGAGAGCTAAGCGTGCTTGTATATATTTGCGAAAAATAAACAATTCACAAAGATCAACCTCATTAAATTATAATTGTATGCAACAATACAGTTTATTTAGTTTATTTTTCAATAATACCTGTCAAAATCAAATTTTTAGGGTTTCTGTTGGTATTACCTAGGGTCCTTTTAATTTATGTCGTTTTTTTAACATTGTTAGTAACTAAATAATTCAAGTTAACTAATTTTATTTAAATAATTTGTGTCTAAATATAAAATCAAAAACTGAATGTTATCTTTTTAAATAACAAAAATTCGTCAATTTGAAACTAAATGGATTTCAAATATAACAAAATTTTCCTTTTATGTTGGCAACATTACAATTTGACAGTTATTATTTAAAAAAATTAACTGGTTAAAGATTACCTCGATAAAAAGTTCAAATCTATTTTGTAAATACGCCAAATGAAGGATATTTGTGGGCAAATTACATGGATTAATTTAATACCAAAAAGTATTAAATATTTTTCATTTAAAGAATTTCCGAAATTCGGTCTACATCCAACCACAACATAACCTTGCAGATTTTATACCAAGTGGAAAGATTTAAGATTTCTAGTAACAAGAAAAAGTGAGAATAGCGTTTCTTTTACTGTGACAACACCAGACCTTGAATTAAATAATTATAAACAATTTATTAGCCAAATAAGAATTAAAAATATATGATTATTAATCATAGAATAACATTTTATTATTATATCGTACAAAATTGCGACAAATAAAGATTACGAATACATCTTTATCTCGTGTTATTAAACGAGTACTCAAATAAACTGATTAAAACTTGGTAGCTTTGTTGGTTTTATTGTAGTGATACAATTAAATATTAATAAACCATCTCATAAGCCGTCTTCATAACTATCAAAGAAATTATTATAAAATCATCAATAAGTTAAAAAGCGATTTTTGTAATCAAATATTTTTTAGTTATTATGTAACACAAATATAAGTTACACTAAATTCCTTTCTATTAACCAAATATTTGTAATTAAAATTCATTACATAACATTTTTTTGCATAAAATTTATTGAAATAAACATTTAACACATTTATTTCGTTCTAGGGGGCAAAACGTCCTTTCAAAGAAATTATTAGAGCAAATATTGGGGATTGCCACGCGATGGGGCAAAAACCAATTACTTTTATTCGACAGTTATTAGCATGCGTTTCATTACCAGAATTATTGGACGACCCAAGATTTCCCGCTGATGTTAAAGAGAAGGCGAAATTGATTTTGAAAGGATGCAAAGGACAATCGGTTGGTTCTTACACTGATTCTCCAGGCATTGAAATAATTCGCCGACATGTTGCTGAATTTATTCAAAGAAGGGATGGAATTCCATCGAATTGGGAGGATGTTATTCTCACAGCTGGTACATTTTTTTATCATACAATAATTTGAATAAATCAATTTTTGTTTCAATTTAGGTGCTAGCGATGCAATTAAAGGAATTTTAAAATTGATGATTGCCGATGTTGACGGAAAAAAAGCAGGCGTGATGATTCCTATTCCTCAATATCCACTTTACACTGCCAGTTTAGCTGAATTTGATATGGTCCCGGTTAGTTATTACTTAAACGAAGAGTCAGGATGGAGTTTAGAGATCGATGAATTGGAAGTAATTAATTTAATTCTTTTTATTAATTATCGTTAATTGATTTTTTTATTTTAGAGAGCTGTTGAAGAGGCTAAACGCGATTGTTTACCTCGAGCTTTAGTTTTGATTAATCCTGGAAATCCAACCGGGCAAGTTCTCACTCGCCAAAACATCGAAAACATTATTAAATTCGCTCATAAACACAATTTGTTTTTATTAGCTGATGAAGTATATCAAGATAACGTTTATGATCCAAATTCCAAATTTCATTCATTCAAAAAGGTTAAAAATTAACTTTTTTATTTATTTTGAGTGAATTTTTTCTGAAATTTTTGATTTAGGTGCTTATTGAAATGGGCGAACCCTACTCAAAAATGGAATTAGCAAGTTTTATGTCGGTTTCGAAAGGTTATATGGGAGAATGCGGCCTTCGTGGTGGTTACACAGAGGTTATTAACATGGACGCTGATGTTAAAAAGATGTATCTTAAAGCTTTAAGCGCAATGCTTTGCCCCACCGTTTTAGGACAAACTGTCATTGACTCTGTTGTTAATCATCCAAGAGAAGGAGATCCCAGCTATGCAACTTGGATTAAAGAAAAAAATGACGTTTTGGATTCATTAAAAGTATTTATAAATAATCATTTATGTTTAATTATTAAGAAAAATGTTTTAGTTGCGCGCAAAAATGGTTGCGGATGCTTTTAATTCTTTCGAAGGATTTTCTTGTAACCCAGTTCAAGGAGCTATGTATTGTTTCCCGCAATTTACACTTCCAGAAAAAGCGAAAGAAGATGCCGAACGTCTGGGTCAAGCCCCAGATGTGTTTTACGCGTTTCAATTATTAGAAAAAACGGGAATTTGTATCGTTCCCGGGTCTGGTTTCGGCCAGAGACAAGGTACATATCATTTCCGTACGACCATTTTACCACAACCCGATGTTTTGAAGAGGATGTTGGGGCTTTTTGAGAAATTCCACAAGGAATTCATGAAAAGATACCAATAAATGTAATTTTATTAGTATTAAACGAGCACGAAATTTAATTTGTAAGGTAGAATTGTGATATGATTTTATAGTTCTTTTATTATTTCTTTTTTTGGACATGAATACATAGTACATTTTATTTTGTGTATATATGGAACGTAATCGCACTTCTATCGGGCGCTCGTTATGTTGGGTACGTTATGTTGAATTGAAAACGTTTGTTAAAACATGTTGAATAAAATTCAATCGTTTTGTTTTTATTTGGTTTTAATTTAACTCGACTTTTACCTAACCTTTATAAACAAAAAAAATCAATTTTATAAAAAGAAACACTGCTTGTGATTTTATCGTGTATAAACATGTTTAAAAGCATTTTTATTTTCTAATAAATAAAACTCAATAATAATGATAACATTTTAATTATTATAACTCATTTTTTGACATCTAAAGGAAAACCTAACCTCACTTCTCAAGATATTTTATTTAAAAATTATTATTATAATAAATTCTTAAAATACAACACAAAGGTTATTTTATTTGTATACAAGATAATCAATAATTTTGTACATTATTAGAAATTAACGAAGTGTTTATTCAAAAAGTAAAAAATAAATTATTTGATGAACTTAACCTAAAAATTAAAAAAATTCAAGATTTCACAATTGCTTAATAAAAGAATTATTATACTTATTATCATATATTATTTGCTAATAAATAAAACTCAATAATAATGATAATAATTTAATTATTATCTCATTTTTTTGACACCTAAAGGAAGACCTAACCTCACTTCTCAAGATATTTTATTTAAAAATCTTATTTCATAATAAATTCTCAAAATACAACACAAATGTTATTTTATTAGTATACAAGACAATCAATAATTTTGTACATTATTAGAAATTAACGTAGTGTTAATTTAAAAAGTAAAAAATAAATTACTTGATCAACTTAACCTAAAAATTAAAAAAAATCAAGATTTCACAATTCCTTAATAAAAAAAATTATTTATTATAATATATTATTATTATTTTCTAGGAATAATAAATAAAACTCAATAATAATGATAACATTTTAATTATTATAAATTATAATTCATTCTTTTGACATCTAAAGGAAAACCTAACCTCACTTCACAAGTTATTTTATTTAAAAATCTTATTATCATAATAAATTCTCAAAATACAACACAAAGGTTATTTTATTAGTATACAAGACAATCAATAATTTTGTACATTATTAGAAATTAGCGAAGTATTAATTCAAAAAGTAAAAAATAAATTATTTGATGAACTTAACCTAAAAATAAAAAAAATTCAATATTTCAAAATTCCTTAATAAAAAAAATAATATAGATATATTACATAATTATACAAAGATATACAAACTAATAAAGAAAAAGAAAATGCTTTTTTAAAATTAAAAATCAATGCTAGCATTCTAAACTCATATGTATCGCTTTTTGAAGTAAACTATCCTCATCTTCGTCATCTCCTCCACTCCTTAATTGCATACTTAATCGTATCGCTTCTTGTAAATCATCCCCTTCCAGAGTATTTCCCTCATCCTCTGCTAAACTTAACTCTAAAGCCGCTCTTAAATCGGGGTCATTTTCTAATGATATTTGATGATGAACAACTCTTGCGCTACGTGTTTGCGGGAGAATTGGTTTAGATTTTAAAATTACATCTGCATCGCACTGAGGAAGTTCACCGAGTACAACGAATATCGAGTATCGATCGTTTTGTAATTGTGCCAAAAATAAAGATAAATAAGTATCAGAAATTAATTCGGGTCTAGGTAAAAGCGAGTTTAAATTAAACCATTGGATACCAATTCGCCGTACCGTAAACCAATGGTCTTTGTAATTACATATAAATGCTCGCATTTTATCTGGTTCCGATTGTTTGACTCTTTCGTCAGAGCTTGAATATGGAACCAACTCTAATCCCCATACTTCTAAGGCGGCACTTATGACCTGTACGGAAAAATAGCCGCTATCGTCCATATTACCCGAAGGTTGAGCTAAAAACTTTTTGTATTCTTCACTCTCTTCACCACATTCTGCCATACGAAGTCGTTCAGCTTCATCCATTTTTTCCGCCAATGTGCTTAAGTCGACCGCTGTGTAATAAGAACCTTGTAACAAGGAGTTTAAACAATGTTGGGCACATAAAGAACCTTCTTGCTAAAATAAAGAAATAAATTTTTAAGGAATTTATGATCAACATAACCTAAATTTGAAACTGTCACAAAAGTCATTTTTGAATAATTGTTAAAAACTGGTGACTTGCCTTTTCATGGAATATGTTTTCCATTATTTTATTATTTCGAAAATAAACCCCTTTGTTAATTTAGCAAGCTTTTAATGATACTCCGAGAAATAACAATCACAAAAAATTTTAAGCATCCAACTTCACGTTATTTGCTTATTCAACTTTTAGTGACTTTTGTGTATTTAGTTTTTCCCCAAAAATAAATTATCAATTTTAAACCTTTGAAACTTTCATTTTTTTTTCAAAATACTCATAAATTAAACTTTTCGACGAAAAACCAAATTCAAGATCAACTTTTAATAATCAGTAGCAACCAATAAAACATTTCATTTTCCATGAAATTTTGTTTTTTCCGAAGCATGTTGACATTCAACATGGCGGCATGTCGTCAGTGCTGTGCTGTGTCGTGGTGAGTCAGTATATTTGTATTTTTATCAAAAACTAGCGTCAAATAAGCATCAAAAACCCATGTAGGAGTTCGTTAAACCATTTCGGATCTTTATTTAGACCTCATTTAACTGTTAACACATAGCACTTTGTGTAATATTGACGTTCGATTTGAGAGAATAACTAACCCTTGGCGCGGTATAAGCTCGGATGGGAATTCAGTTCCTACGCAGTTAGTCATTGTTTTGATAAAAAATGTTTTTGGGGGTACATTTCTTATTGATAAAACGGTTAGATAGATAAGATTTTTATATGAAAATGATAAATAGATCGGTAGGTTATTAAAGTTGTTACATGGAGGGTCCTTTTTTGATACAAATCAATAATTTCTCGTTCGGGAACTTGTGCGCGTTATAAACATGTTTGCGACCGTTTTGCGTTCCCATTCGTCCGGTTTTTAGTGATATTTCGTTCCTTTGGGTTTTTAATGCGTTATTTTTCAGATTCCAAAACGAATTTGTGCCATAAATACGTTTTTTTTTTAAATTTAACTTTAATTATTTTGACATTGATAACATAACCTCACTTTTCCATTATTTGTCAAATAAATGTTTATATCTCGTTTTTTTAAATTTTAATCGTGGAAAATGGAAGTTATGGGTTATTTTAGAATTTAATTCTGATTTCTATTATATATTATGTGTGCTTATAACAGAAAATGTTAAATTTTATATTTGGCATGTTTAAAACATAACCTCAAAAAATTAAAAATTGGAATTAAATGTAAATTAAATAAATTCTATATTTGCAAGTAATATTAATGAATTGTTTAATTTATTTTCAGCTTGTGTAACTAAGAAACACTCAAAATTTAGATTAGAAAATTCAAAGTAACCCGAGTATCAGCGTAACCACTGGCCTTGAAATATAACAATTACGACAAAAAATATAAGTGAAATTTTAAAGGAAAAAATTTAAAAATTATGAGCATAGCACAATCCGCACCCAGCACGCATTGAAGACATCTGAGGATTTTTTTAGTTTCAAAACCTTTCAGTTTTTCCATTAAATTTTGAGTGACTGTGGATTGTTGTAGCGAGTTTCTCATTTTTTTTTCTTTTTTTCAAAATTTTTATTTTGTTCCATTTAAATTAAAAATAAAAAAAATAAACGCAGTTTATTCCATAGCGAAAAAGTACATAAAAATTCAGTTTTTGTTTCCTATTTGACGGACACTGTGTGTTGATAATAATATGTAATAAAAAAATTAGATGATGAGCCTGTTACGATCATGATGTATTATTGTGAATTTAATGAATTTTTTTTGTCGTCTTCTGGATTCAATTCAAGAGGAGTGAATTAAAAAAGTTAAATCAGCGGTTATATATATACATATATATTTAAAAGAAAGACGAAAAGATAATAAACTAAAACTTGGTTTACTTGAACAGACCTGTGTACTCTTTACACTGTGGGGGTAAAACGAATAACTAGAAACGTTGTACCATTTATTTATAAACCATTCTGTGATATTCGATACACTTAAGGACAAAGAAAACGTTTAAACAGAAAAAAGCAACAAAACAAAACCCAAGCAAGATAAACACAAAGACGCAAAAGATAAGATCAAAGTTTTAGAGGAGTATAACATAGCAAAATAGAAATAGATAAAGAAAAATCTTTGTGTTTTCACATGAGTATGTCTACCAATCCTCAGTGGAAAACGTTCCAGCCGCCCGACACTATGAATCAAGACTCTGCCATCATCGATTTTAAAACTATGACCTCAAATGGTAAAAATCTTTTATTTATATTATTATATTAATGATACTTATACTGGAGTAAAACGAGTATAAATAATTTCAACAAATGGATGTTGAGAATATATCTACTTGATTTGCCCCAGTTTTAGCAATAAATATTTTTTTTAAATTATTAATGTAGAATAAAATATGAACTAATAGTGATTACTTTGCAGATAATAAAATTTGCAAATGTACACATTTTCGCAATTACTCCAGAATATACTTTAGAGCCAATGGAAGCTCATGAAGTAAATAACCTTGCCACTGCAAGAGTGTTTTTAATCTTTACTTGGGTATTTTGATATGGTAGTTTCATCACAATTACTTCAACTTTTTCTGTTGATTCAAATGTTGTCTCGTTTTTATTCTTCGTCTTCTGAGATCTAATTCGTCCTCTAAAGTGATAGTTCTGCCCAATAAAATATGTTCTGTTAGAACTCTTGCAGTATTTCCACCATGGAGTATTTACATCGATTCAAGAGGTTTTTTTGAGAGCACTTTGGTGATAGTGAAGCGTCCACTTGGTGTTTATTAATATTAATCTTTTTTTTCCTAACTGTATGAGAATCTCGTCTTTTGTTGCGTCTTTTTCCAGTTTTCTTTTTCCACTATAAATTAGCTAAAACTTCAAAGCTGGTTTTCTCGCGAACCGCTCATTCGATTTTGATGATTCTTTTTTTGATCGAAAGGTTGATTCTTCGATAATAATCCTGCGATAGAAATTTTCATTTAGATTTTAATTCAAGCATATATGGGCTGCAAGAATGAGCAAAACTTTTTTTTCTCGAAATTTGTAATACTCTTTGGGATGCAGCTGCTATAGCAGATAAATAGTGTTAACTGGAATCAAACGGTAGCTCAATCTTTTCTGAACATTTTGTTTTTCTATTGACTCTATTGTCTCTGTTACTAACAAAGATGCAGTGTTTTAAAGCGAACGCCTGTGAAAACAAGACAAACAAGCATAAAGATCTAAGGTGGCGCGCTAGGTAGCGTATGTCATTTGTTTCGAATAGTAAATTGACAGTTGTTAAAGATGTTGCGTATTGTTACTTTAATTATACGTTGTGATACGTTGGGTATACAATAGTTCAGGATGCCTGGAACCAATATGTGGAAACAGGCAATTTCACTAGGCGGCATGGTTCCGCTTCTGCAAAACTGTTTCGGGTGCCCAGTTTTTGGTTTCCAGGTCAATGATTTAAGGCGCCACTTTTAACAAAGATTAAAAATCTGTATAGGCTTCATTGTAAATTCCTGGCCACACCATCACAGAACCACCATCGAAACTTGTCGACTTTATTTTGTCAGTTCAAAAATATAAAGAACCTTTATTGTATCAACCTGAAACTAGTTATAATAGTGTAGCGCCTCGGCCTTGGCTTTATCAAAAAAAGTTATAGGTAGATCGTTTATTTAATTAAGCTGAGGTCGTTTGCACCTGAGAGTCTGTGATTAATTATATCAATCTACCTAAAATTGGTCATCATATTGTGGCTGGTCTCCTATTTTCCTAATGTATATTTGGCATTCGTACATTCTACGAAGTTATATTATCATAGGCTGCTTAAATCTATATCCTATGCATTCCTAATTTAGAAGGAATATATTGTGTGTTTGTAGCAATGACTCAAAGAAAGCTAATTGGTTATAATTTGGTCTAAATCTTCATTTTTGCTTCCTGATTCAGCGTTATCAAAACGTAACGGTTGAAAAATGGTATTGAACCTGTTTCTAGCCATAATTTGGTTGAAGCAGGTTCAGCCACCTTTTTTTCAACAAGATGCCTTTCTTGTTGCAACCCTATAAAAACCACTTTCTCATCTTTAAAAAATAAGCGAAAGCTGCTGTTAATTGGACCGCCTTATGCATCACTTGACTAAGCGACAAATGAATAATGTTGAGAAAAACGGCATTTTCGTTTTCATCTCTCTAAAAATATAAGACTTCTCAGAATAGACAGGCTCAAACTATTGAAAATTGTTTGGTGCCTGTCCATTTTTATCACAGAACACTGATGACAGCTATCACAAGCACAGAGGGCATACAGGGTGTTTCTGTAAGTAGTGGCATAAATTTAATCACTAAAACTAGAGACAAAATGATGACGATTCGTGTAAAAATTTTTGAAAAAAATAATCTAGACTTTGTCCAAGTTTCTTAATACTTATTTTTGTTTTGTTAAAAAAGATCACATATCAAAGTAGAAATCAGACTATTAGTTACTAATTTGCAAAATTAAAGTTTAAAAAGTTATAAAATGAAATTAAGGACGAACTGTTACAACTTTACAGGTTAAAATTTAAGAATGCTCTTTTTTAACAAAAGATATATTAAGAAACTTTTAATCAATGTGAAATAACCCAAAAACACGTTAAAAATAATTATTAAAAATATATCATAACTAACTTCAGGTTTAAAATGTCAACCTCAATTTTGACATATTTCTAATTTTCATTAAAAATCCTTTAAAATAAGTACAAACACGACATATTTATCTTCAATATTAATGAAGTTATGGTCAACTTCCGGTTAAGAATGTCAACGTCAATTTTGACATATTTGTAATCGTCGTGAAAAATCCTTTAAAATGAGTCCAAACATGATACGTTTAATTCCAATATTACTCGAGATATAAGCAACTTCCGGTGTGCAATGTCATTTTGACATATTCTTAATTTTTATAAAATGTGTTAAAATTTGTCACGAAAACAAAAATATAATTAAAAAAATCAAAAATTGTTTATTAAATAAGGTTGGTATTAATATTTAAAAATTAAATTGCTATCTTCATTGTTGCTAACTTCGGGTTTAATGTTTTTTATTCTAACTTTTATGTTTTTTGAGATAAGTGCGTCATATTTGGACTCATTTTAAAGATTTTTTAATGAAGATGACAAATATGTCAAAATTTACGTTGACGTTTTAAACCGGAAGTGATTGTATTTCCATTAATATTAAAGTTAAATATGTCGAGTATGGACTCATTTTAAAGGATTTTTTATGAAGTTGACAAATATGTCAAAAAATTAAAAGTTGAAAGTTCGAACTTTTTGGTTTGTTGAGATAAATGCGTCAAGTTTGAACTCACTCCTCTTTTAAAGGTTATTTTATGAAGATTACGAATTCTAGTTCTAGGTCTTGTGTTAGTTCTAGTGATAGTGCTAGTGTAAAACTAGAACTAACACTAGACCGAGAACGAGAAACATTCGGATTTAGTCCCACGTCTCTCAAGACGGCTAAACCCGAATGATTCTAGTTCTAGGTCGTCTGAGGACGCATGGCTAAACCCGAAACTTTCTAGTTCTAGGTCTAGTGTTAGTTCTAGTTTTAGTGCAATAAAAATCGTATCTAAGTCGGTTCTTACACGTATGATGCAAATCGGACTTAAAATCGTATAACGTGATTGGCGCTTAGCTTTATCCTTTAAAACAAATAGTATTTTAGGTCTTTCGGTATTCTGCATTTTTTCTTAGATAAGTTATACCTTCCTACCAGACAGCATGATGAAAATCTCTAAAAACGATGAAATGTCGCTTAGTCAAGTGATGTATAACGCGGTCCAATTGTGACACGTATCTTGTAGGTCCTCATACTCCATGTATCACGTTTCGCCCCTTTTTATGTAATTAGAAAATGAAAGGAAAAACTTACGGGTAATAGTTGGTCATTATTATCAGTAATTGCTTTCACTGCTTTCAAATTCTAAATCAGACACATTTTCGAGGTTGTTTTTCAAATTCACTTTCTTCTTCAAACCACTGTCGCAAAATATCTTTATCAGTTAGCCGAATTAATCATCTTCCGGCTATGATTACACGTCAATTGTGGAGAAACGTTACAAATTATATGAACGAAGCGATCTCAACAGTTACATCGTATTAAGTAAAGTACCGAGTAGACGGAGAAGTAGAAAATTGAGGGAATCACAGAAATACTACGCTTTAACACCATACATGAATCATCTAACACTATTTGTTTATTAACATAATCGTATTAATCATATTAGTAGATACAGAGTGTCCGTAAAGTAACGGATATAGGCGATAAAATCATTATAAACGGTTTATGGAAAAATTTCTGAAACGGGTCTAAAGATTTAAATTTTTTGCAATTGTTTGGTGTAGATTTTAAATTTCTTCTGCCATTTTTAAGCGAGTTATGACGTCATCGGAAATTTTCTTATGTAACCAATATTAACATTGACTGTACTAGATTCAGAAAAAAATCCTCTTACATATTCCGTAATAAAAATGGGGGATTGCCATTTAAAAAAATGTCGATGACGTCATAACTCGTTTAAAAATGGCGGAAAAAATTTGAAATCTACACCAAAAAATTGCAAAAAATTAAAATCTTTAGACCTGTTTCAGGGATTTTTCCATAAACCGTTTATTATGATTTTATCGCCTATATCCGCAACTTTACGGACACACTGTATATAAATACTATTTTGATCCAGTTTAATTATTTGTTTGTTTTTTTTTAATTTAGGTAAATCCCCGGGATTTAATTTTAATAACCGTTCCACTTCGACGTCACGTTTTGGATCAGATTTTCCTTCCTTACAAGAAAAATCTTCCTCCTCATTCAATAGTGGCGGCCTCTACGGATCTTCAAGCACGACAAACGCATCTTCGGGTCGGTTTCCGATTGGAACGTTTTCGCTCGATTCGAACAACGTTTATAACAGCAGCGGCGATTCGCTAACGAACAGCAGCGTTTTTTCAAACGGAAATAACACGAGCAGCAGTAGCTATAACGATTCGAATTCGGCCAATTTGGGTACAAGGGAAACCGGAATCATTGAGAAACTGTTACATTCGTACGGTTTCATTCAATGTTGCGAGCGTCAGGCGAGACTTTTTTTTCACTTTAGTCAATTTAGCGGAAATATTGAACATTTAAAAATCGGCGATCCGGTTGAATTCGAAATGACTTATGATAGGAGAACCGGAAAACCGATCGCCAGTGCTGTCACAAAAATCGCACCTGAAGTTGTAAGTTAAATTAATTATGTTTAGGCCTAGTTTATTCACCTTTGGTTACATTTAACTACTGGATATTTAAAGGTGAATAAACTGGGCCTAAATAAAATGATTTAATTTATTTTTTTTTTGTGATTAGGTGATGAGCGAAGAACGTGTAACTGGCACTGTAACGACTGAGTTAAGGGGAGAAGGTTCAAGCGGTGATACTCAAGGTCGAATAAGCTACGAAAATCGCGGGGAGTGTTTTTTCTTACCTTACACAAAAGACGATGTTGAAGGAAACGTTACACTACGTTCTGGGGATAAAGTCAGTTTTCAAATAGCCACAAATAATCGTGGAAACTTAGGCGCGTGTCATGTACGTTTAGAAAACCCTGTTCATCCGGTTAAGTATCAGGGAGTGGTTTGTTCAATGAAGGAGAGTTTTGGATTCATAGAACGTGCGGATGTCGTTAAAGAAATTTTTTTCCATTTTTCCGAGGCCAAAACTAAGGAGGAATTACACCTCGGCGACGACGTAGAATTTATAATTCAAACGAGAAATGGTAAAGAGGTCGCCTGTAACATAATGAGGCTTCCATCGGGGACCGTTATTTTTGAAGATTTAAATCCTGATATTATTAAAGGACAAGTTTTGAAAACATTGGATAGGGGAATGTCTCAAGCGAGACACCAAACGGATGCTTTACCCGGTCGTATAAGATACAGAGCTCCAGATCATTCCGAAGTTGAAATTTCTTTCGGCGAAAAAGACCAAAAAGGCGATTTTACATTACGGCACGGAGATTGGGTTCAATTTAAAATAGCAACGGACAGAAGAGATCAATTGAATCGAGCAACACAAATCATGTTATTAGAAGAAAGCTTTAAAGTATCCGGAGAAAGACGCGAACAAGGTGTCGTAGCTTCAGTAAAGGACGGTTTTGGTTTTCTCAAATGCGTTGAACGCGAGCCACGCCTCTTTTTCCATTTCAACGAACTGTTAGACGTGGATCACGAGGCGCAAGTCGGCGATGAATTTGAGTTTACCGTCGTTCACGATCAGAGTAGCTCGTTTGGTAATAATCGACAAAGCGCGATTAGGATGAAACTCCTACCGATCAATACTGTACAATTCGAAACTATGGTCGAAACTGACGTCACCGGAATCGTTACCAAAGACATCCCAAACAGTTGGGCAAGTCGTAGTCCATCGAAAAACAATCAAAACAACGGAAGTTTTAATGGAAGCGGCGAACACAATGTTGAATGCGGTCTTATTACGTATCAAATTAACGGTGGTGGAGGTGTTAAAAAATCTGTTCCTTTTTATTCCAAAGATTGTGACGCAAGACATTTTCCCAGACACGGTGATAAGGTTAGTAAAAAACATAATGATAATTGGACCGCGTTATGCATCACTTAACTAAGCGACAAATGAATAATGTTCATCTCACTAAAAATATAAAACTACTCTGCTCAATCTATTGAAAATAGTTTGGTTTTCTGTTATACAGGTTATTTCTGTAAGTCGTGGCATAAATTTAATCACTAAAACTAGAGCCAAAATGATGACGATTCGTGTATTTTTTTTTAATCAATGTGAAATAACCCTAAAACACGCTAAAAATAAAAAGAAAGTGACTAACACTAGATTAACTTCAAATATAAAACTTTTATTATATGATAACTAACTTTAGGTTTAAAATGTCAACCTCAATTTTGACATATTTGTAATCTTCATTAAAAATCCTTTAAAATGAGTACAAACACGACATATTTATTTTCAATATTAATGAAGTTATGGTCAACTTCCGGTTTAGAATGTGAACGTGAATTTTGACATATCTGTAATCGTCGTGAAAAATCCTTTAAAATGAGTCCAAATATGATACGTTTAATTCCAATATAACTCGAGATATAAGCAACTTCCGGTTTGAAATGTCAATGTCATTTTAACATATTCTTAATTTTTATAAAATGTCTTAATATTTGTCACAAAAAAAATACAATAAAAAAAAAATAAAAAATTAAGGTTGGTAATAATATTTAATAATTATTTATTGCCAACTTCATTGTTGCTAACTTCGGGTTTAACGTTTTTTTTATTCAAACTTTTTTGAGATAAGTGCGCCATGTTTGGACTCATTTTAAAGTTTTTTTTTAATAAAGAATACATCATGAAAGAACACCATGAAGTTGTCTATTTGTCTATTATATAATAACTAACTTCAGGTTTAAAATATCAACCTCAATTTTGACATATTTGTAATCTTCATTAAAAATCCTTTAAAATGAATACAAACACGACATATTTATCTTCAATATTAATGAAGTTATGGTCAACTTCCGGTTAAGAATGTCAACGTCAATTTTGACATATTTGTAATCGTCGTGAAAAATCCTTTAAAATGAGTCCAAACATGATACGTTTAATTCCAATATTACTCGAGATATAAGCAACTTCCGGTTTGAAATGTCAATGTCATTTTGACATATTCTTAATTTTTATAAAATGTCTTAATATTTGTCACAAAAACAAAAGTACAATAAAAAAAATTAAAAATTAAGGTTGGTATTAATATTTAATAATTATTTATTGCTATCTTCATTGTTGCTAACTTCGGGTTTAACATTTTTTTATTCAAACTTTTTTGAGATAAGTGCGTCATGTTTGGACTCATTTTAAAGTTTTTTTTTAATAAAGAATACATCATGAAAGAACACCATGAAGTTGTCTATTTGTCTATTATATGATAACTAACTTCAGGTTTAAAATGTCAACCTCAATTTTGACATATTTGTAATCTTCATTAAAAATCCTTTAAAATGAGTACAAACGACATATTTATCTTCAATGTTAATGAAGTTATGGTTAACTTCCGGTTAAGAATGTCAACGTCAATTTTGACACATTTGTAATTGTCGTGAAAAATCCTTTAAAATAAGTCCAAACGTGATACGTTTAATTCCAATATTACTCGAGATATAAGCGATTTCGGTGTGAAATGTCAATGTCATTTTGACATATTCTTAATTTTTATAAAATGTGTTAAAATTTGTCACAAAAATGGAAATATAATAAAAAAGTCAAAAATTAAGGTTGGTATTAATATTTAAAAATTAAATTGCTATCTTCATTGTTGCTAACTTTGGGTTTAAAGATTTTTATTGTAATTTTTTTGTTTTTTGAGATAAGTGCGTCATCTTTGGACTCATTTTAAAGGGTTTTTAATGAAGATGACAAATATGTCAAAATTGACGTTGACGATTTCAAACCGGAAGTGATTGTATTTCCATTAATATTAAAGTTAAATATGTCGAGTTTGGACTCATTTTAAAGGATTTTTTATGAAGTTGACAAATATGTCAAAATTAAAAGTTGAAACTTCGAACTTTTTGGTTTTTTGAGATAAATGCGTCAAGTTTGGACTCATTTTAAAGCTTATTTTATGAAAATTACGAATATAATAATAAAATTAAATTTGACATTGTTATATTTGTCATTTGACATTGTCACAGTTATACAACATGTAGTTCGTTTTTTTTTTCTATAATACTTATCAATATAAATTTTTTAGGGTTTCTGTTGGTATTATCTAGGACCCTTATAAAATTTATGTTGTTTTCCTAATTTTTAGTAACATTATCAGTAACTAAATAGTTGAGGTTAAAACACTAATACATTTTTAAATAAATACGATTTTAACGAAATACATATTTATTGTAAAAACGTGCTACGAAGTAATTAAATAGAACAAAACACCTTGTCTAGGTAAATAAATGGCAAATAAACACCCCACAACATTTTGTATGTACCTTTTCTTTTTGGGTAACGAAAGCTCAAACGTCAGTGTGACATATCTATTTCAAAACATGATAAAACAAAACTCCCTGTTAATTTTTCCAACTTTACAACAATTTGACAATATCTTATGCTAACTAGCGCTATCTTTTTAATACTTCGATCTTGTTTTCTTCTTTGTTAAATGTGAAAGTGTTATAAATATCTATCGCTTCATGACCCATAAGATGGAGTAACTGCGCACATTGTACCTTTTTTCCTATTTCCGCCGCTATCGTGTAGATTTTGAAAAATCTATTTCCACCTTTTCCAATTTGTTGCTTAATTTCCATTGAAATTCATTGTCTATATTGGCTTATTTGTATCCATTTTTAATTTTTCGTTAATTTTTACTGCGCCATGTTATATTATGTTAAAGAAAGAACGGTTGAGCATGAACTGGCTTTATTCAGTCTTTTGTGTGAACCGTTTACATTCAGTAATCTAAGTTGCATAACTATAACTTATTTAAATAAACTAAACTCATTACAACAATCTCAACATCCCCGTATCTCCAAATATTTCGGTTCTCTGGTATTTAAATTTCATTTCCTGCTGTATGATATTGACCACAAGCTTGCATCTTATTAGAATGGGGTTTTCTGATCTATCATAAAGAAGGTGTTTTTAAAGTACTATTTCCACGTCTACTATTTATTATGGCCTCGTTGTTCGTTGTTGGTTAATATCTCCTGTGCGTACAGTTCAAATTTGGTTCTCTAAATATTTTACCAAAGCACCTCTTTCTGTGTACTTGGTGTTAATGAATTCATTTGCTTCTGTTCTTCTAATTAATGGCAAAATTTGTTCCTGCAACCCATAGAAGTCACTTTCTATTCTTTTGACGAAGACTCTCAATGTTTGTTTTTAGCTTGTCTGAGTAATAATTTAATTGGGTTTTGAATTCTAACTGCACCAATATAAATTGAACACGATGGTTTTTCTCCACAACCTCGGCGCGTAAGTTTTAAAAACGGATCCAAACCTAATTTAAAAGAGTTAATGATAACGTTGCGCATCAATACTACATTAATTAAAGCAACTGCAAGAAACGTTGACAAAAAATTTAACATAATCTCACAAATAATTGAATTAATTATGATGTAATTAAGTTATTAATGTTAGTAATTAATTTTTATTTATCCCTTTTGTGTAGGTACAATTTAATATTAATCAAATAAAACGTAACAAAGAATACATAGCAGTTGATATCCAAATAATACAACCAGCAGCGATGGCGACAGCAACGTCTCCCGCGAATGGCATTTCAAAACATAATAGTTCTAGATCTTCTTCTTCACAAATACAACAAGGATTTATAGCGGCGCTTAAAGATGGTTTTGGTTTTATTGAAACGGTCGATCACGACCGAGAAGTATTTTTCCATTTTAGGTAATTTATTTATAATACATGTAATAATTAGTAATAATTTAAATAATCCTTGTTGTAGTAATTTTGATGGTGACCCAAACAATTTAGAACTTGGCCAAGAAGTTGAATACAATTTAGGATTACGCGGTGGTAATTCCGGTAGTTGTTCATCAGCCGAAAACGTCCGAGTGGTATCGAAAGGTACAATAGAATTACCGGCCATTTCTGGTGAATTAATCGAAGGTTACGTGGTACGCCCCCTCCGCTCTGTGAATCCGGATCAAAGCGAATATTCCGGATTAATAAAAGTAAAAATGGAAACGCCGGATGATGTGGACGTCGCGGAATACGAATTTGGTATAATGGGATTGATTAATAAGCGCGAATTGCTCCAAGTTGGTGACCACGTCCAATTTCAAGTAGATGCGACAGGAAGAGCGGCTAATATCGTTGCGGTTCGTAAGAAATTGAGGGCGGCTGTCGATGCGATTAAGGGACAATTTGGGTTTCTTGCCTATGAGGTAGAGGAGGGAAAAAAATTGTTTTTCCACGTTTCGGAGGTTAGGGATAAAATTGAATTGAATGTTGGCGATCAGGTTGAGTTTGTTTTGGTTACAAATCAACGAAGCGGAAAATCATCTGCTTGTAATGTTGTAAAAGTCAAGTGAGTCAAAACAAAGTTAATAAATAAATGGAAATAATTATTTTTTTTGATGATTGTAGTGACGTAATTCAAGCTAGACCTGAAAGGTTAATTAGTAGACTTCGTACAATTTCTTTGGACGATGCTGGTCCAAGGGTAATCGTGGTTCGTCCTCCAAAAGGTCCAGATGGTACTAAAGGCTTTTCATTAGAAATGCGTAACGTTCGACCCGCAGGGTACGTAACTGGAGAGTAAAGAAAAATAAATAATTCATCTACACAGACCAGACCACCATGAAGAAGACAAAAAGTCAAGTCATTTTTATCATTATTGTGACTAGTAAAAGAATAACTTAAAACTACTCTATCGTCTTAGCAACAATGGAGTTGGAACTACTATATATATTGTATTTTATAAGTCTATTACCTTTGATTGAACAATATATATGAATATAATAAATTATAAATTATTGATCGATTTGAAGAAAAAATCGCAAAAATCGAGTTGTTAAACGTAAAAGTAATAATAAATGATAATTAGGGTGAGAGGCATAGCTCTTTTGGTTGTAAAACACACAGACACAAAAAAAAAACCAACACTACAGACGGAAACAATTTAAATTAGTATCAGTAGATGATGTTTATATGTGGTTTGATCTGAATTAAAAAAAATAATGTCAAGTATTCTATGTTTAATAAAAAAATGTGTAATTGTCAATACAACCAACTCAAATCATGCTAAAAATAAAATTATGTTTTTTTTATTGAACATACGTTACTTGTCCTGCTTAAATAAGTAAATGAAAAATTCAAAAAAAAAAAGTGTAACAGAATGTATGGAAAAAATGCGCTTTATTAAAACCAAAACCAAAAGCGAAAAAAAAAAGATAATCCATTGACAAATACAATGAATTTATTATTAGTGTATAACACAGATCTTTTTATTATGCTATTTATCTTTTTGGCAATTATTTTTTTTTATTTTATTACTCCCCAAAAAGAATTTTATTTGAAGAAAGAATTTTTAAAACTTAAATTTAGATAAACAGCATAATAATAAAACGCCTGTAAAAAAAAACTTCTTAGGTATTAGAAAGTATAAACAAATAAATTCTAGAATAAAGACTGCATCGATAAGAAAAAAAAAATAAAGATAAATGAGAAAAGTAACAAAAAAAAATCTATACATTGTACATTATTACGAGATTTTGTAACGTTTTGTCTTTTTTTTTATTTAGTGCCCAATTTAGGTGTGATGAATGCTAAAAACTAAAAAAAAAGATTAGTTAAAAATACTAATATCAGTAACCAGTACCCACAACGTGTTACGCGCAACAAACAAAACCAAAACCTATTATTTTTTTTTTTTATATTTAATTTATGATTTATCGTTATTATGAATCGTTTCTGTGATAAGCCAAGTTTGAAAGCTAGAAAATTAAAAAAAAAATCTTAATTATAATATTAAAAACTAACGTCGCGAATTTAATCTCCCCCGATTATTATTAATCTCGCCAAAACCAGTGGTGAAAAAGTGTAGTGAAAATACTAACGAGAAAAAAAACGCGTGTGGGTACTGTGATGCAGTTTGGTACACACATATAACGAGAATATTAAAATACACGTGGATTATCTCATTCTTTCTATTTGTAAATTGTTTAATTTTTTCGAGAAAATAAATATATATAAGTAATACCAATTAAAAAAAAAATGGCTTTATTTTTTTTAATTATTAAACTAATTAATAATTTTATAATATTATAATGTACGAAAATATCTCTTTGGTGCTTCTTCCATTAACTCCTCTTGTTATCTCTTTGTACTTTTATATCACAATGCATTCGTACGGAAAAATGATGTCTCTATAAGGTATCGTAGGTCGTGGACATGCTAAAACATAAAAATCAATATAAAATTGTTTGACTTTTGCAAAGGAAAAGTTTTGTTTGAAAAAAGGTGACGTCTTTATGATAATCCTAAGTTTCCCAATTATTTGAAACGTCAAAATTCCATAAAAACGTCAATTTAATTTAATTGTTTTAGGACTTTCTAAAGGTGTGACATTAAAAAAACGTAAGCAAATCCTTTTTTCGTATGATTTAAGCATTAATTAATTAATTTTCGTAAAAAAAACATGACGTTTCATAAAATTGATATTTAATTTTGACAAATTGTTTGTAAGTTACAGTTGGTAACATTGAACTTGTGTCACATTGACGTTTAAACTTTATTCAAAAATTTATTTAAAAAGATGAGTTTTAAAGGGTAGTCATTTTTCACAGAGTTTTGAATGGAATTCACCGCTAGATTGTTGTATATTTTTAATGACCTAAAAGTAGATAAAGATTTTCCTCATAACCTCAAAAATTCTGATTTGGAAGGTTATAAACATGAAATTAGCAATGAAGATAAAGCATAAATGTTTTAGGTGTTTATTTATCTAGAAATTTTTGTTTTATTCACATTAAAAGCATTTTAATTTGATACCTACTTATTTATTTGCATTAATGAATCGTTAATTTAATTTCTAATAAGTACTTCATGTATGTTAGTTACCAAAAATATTACTAGGTAATACCAACACAAAAATTTGATTTTGACAGATAATAATAACCACAAATACAACCATTAATTATTTATTTAATTATCATTACGATTTAATTTGTATTAAATCGTCAGTTTTTATTCAAAAATACTTCCTTTTCGCTTTATTTCTCTAAAATAACACATAATCAATCATGATATATCTTCATAAAAGAAATAATGAAAGTTAGGTTAGTTATACTCATTCAGGCTTAGCCGCACGTCTTTAAAAACGGTTAAACTTAAATTCTAGTTTTAAGCCTTGTGTTAGTTTCGTGATAGCGCTAGTGTAAAACTGGAACTAACACTAGAACTAGAAACATTCGAGTTTAGCCTTGCGTCTCTCAAGACGGCTAAACCCGAATGATTCTAGTTCTAAGACTTCTGTTAGTTTTGTGATAGTGCTAGTGTAAAACTAGAACTAACACTAGATCGAAAACTAGAAACATTCGGATTTAGCCGCACGTCTCTCAAGATGGCTAAACCCAAATGATTCTAGTTCTAGGTCATGTGTTAGTTCTAGCGATAGTGCTAGTGTAAAACTAGAACTAACACTAGAACTAGAAACATTCTAGTGTTAGTTCTAGTTTTAGTTCAATACAAATATGCAACATAGTGATATCTTATGTTAACTACCGCTACCTACCACTGTCATTAGAACTAGCATTAAGACCTACAACCAAAAACATTCAGACATATTGCATTTTATGTGGGATAAAGTACCTATTTATGTACGCCTTGGTTTTTATCGAAATATATTTTTGCATATTACATTTTAAGTGAAATTCACTGTATATCGATTTATAAGAAAATTCATTGTTTTTCACAGAATTTTTGAATCAGACACCTTTAGCAACTCCATTATTTAAAACGTCCGAGTGGTATCGNTTTTTCTGGCAGAAAACTACATATATACCTTTAGAAAAAGACAAGATGATGCCTTTAGAAGACTAGATACTTGTTCCAGAAGACTACGTACTGCTGCCAAAAGATTAATATTGCTGGAAGAAGTTTAGAAACTACTACCAAAAGTTAGAAGACAGATAGAAGACTAGATACTGTTGCCAAAAGATGAGATATTGCTGACTTAGGTTTAGATAGTGCTGCTAAACATTAAAACCTTGACATACAACAACGAGTTCCAGTATTAATTCATTTCTTGTGCCACTGTAGACTGACGAGTCTAACTCAAACGATATATACTGCTTGCAGAAGACTTTCCACAGAAAAGGAGATATTAATAAAGGTCTAAACACTACTAATAGAATAGTAAATACTCCTCGTAGAAGACTAGATACTGCTTGCATAAGACTACTTGCATTTGGCAGAAAGCTAGGCTAATAGGCTGGCTAATAAAGGTCTAGACACTATTAATAGAAGAATAAATACTACTGGCTCAAGACTTCAGACAGCATAAAGCTAGATACTAATGAAGGTCGACTCATTATTAATAGAAGCGTAAACTAGATACACTACTAACAGAAGAATTGATACTGCTGGCAAAAGGCTTCATACTTTTGGGATAAAGCTAGATAGAGCTAATGGAGAGCAAGACACTACTAATAGAAGAGCAACTTTTGGCACAATGCTTGATTCTGTTGGTACAAGACTACATAACATTTTCAGAAGGCTAAATACTATTAATTCGAGCTAACCAGCTGTATAATAGAGTTGCCATTGGCACTGGTGTGATGGTAAATATTGTATCATTTGTGCGTTTTGAAAGTTTTTGTTAAATATGGTTTTATTGTTTTAGAAACTGTAAATACAATCACTGTAAATAAAAATATGCCCGGTAAAACTTGAACAAGATCTTTTCGTGAAGGATATGGTGCATAGATTAGTCAAAAAATGACACAAAGTATTTCATGACATAGAACAATTATAAACAACAACAGAATCAATTAGTTTTTGGCAATCTAAAGATAAAACTTGAGAATTTTCTCTAGATACAGATAATCCAGAGCTAATCCAAAACTCAACAAAAGTTTTTACATCAATTATGGTTGGTGGAAATACTGCAGATGATATAGCACCTATGTGTGTGGGTTATAATGCAGACTAGGTCTACCCGGAATGAGTTCAGGGGGATTTTCTGCATCAATTTGACATTTTCGCTATCGTATTGGCCAAGGATTAAGCTGTGGAATAAAGTAGTGTTGGTCGAAATCGCTTAACAGGTTCTCCTGTTATGATCAAAATACTATACATGTCAAACACTATCTAATTGTGGCTAACTTCGCATAAGTTGCAAAATAGGTGCTAATCAACATGTGCTTTCAAATTTAGATTAACATATACTGAGATGAATCCAAATATGTCCAGAGCAGTGGCGCCGACTTTTTAATATTTAAGAGGGGACAGAACTTTTTCAAATGGCGCACCTTTTTACAATACAATAAATTGTATGCTGATCCAGAGTGAAGGCCTCAAAGTAGCAATTGTGATATTTTTTTCATATGCAGAAAAATCCCCGCAATCTTGTAATCTATTTGCACAGTATTCGTATTATTTTTTACTGGGTTACTTTTCCTACTTATGGATAATAAGGTCTAAAAGTGAACATCAATAATCCCCCCAATTTGTTTAATATCCTGAAATATAGTGATGATATATTATCCGCAAAGCTAATTTTATTTGATTACTGTCTATAAATAAATAAATATCGAGAGAAAGATAGATTTCAATTATAAAACTGTTTATTTTGTACTAGATCTTTTACAAAAGCTTCTTATCTTGTTTAGAAACCTTGAGGTTATCGTCCAAGGCCAACGATTTATTTCCATACATTATAAAGAATAAGAAACGAAATCATTCACTCACCTCGGTTGCATCTTTCGCCGTAAAATCCAGTTCCCTCGCACCGACATTTAAAACCAGGCTGTTGAGCCACTTGTATACAAGAGCCACCATGCATACAAGGATTCGGATGACAAATATCCGCTCGTTTACCTAATTAAAAGAATAGAAAAAACCACACACATTCCACCTTGAAATAAAATATTTAAATTGAGTGGTGTTACCTCTTAAGGCACTATCGCATTCTTCGAATGAAGAATATCTGTATTCGGAGGTGCAACTAAACTCATCGCACGTACATCTTTTTCCTTGTATTCGACATCCGAGCCTTTTTTGGCTTGTGTCACATTCAGAGGTCACCTGTGAAACTGAATTTGAGTCATTTTTAAATTATTCTTTGTTAATTTTATTTGAAAAATAAAAAGAAAACGTTTTTCTGATTTTATTTAAATATTTTTAAAATAACTTACTGAATAATAACAAAACTAATAAAGAATAAAACATGTTTCCAACTTTCCTCATTGCACTTAAAACACAGAAGAACGCGTTTTTGTCCGTCAATGTAACTTGAAGTGCAACTACCAGCATCTGTATACAGATAAAGAAGTCGTTGCCCTTTATTCCCACTCCAAGATAACAATGTGTATTTGGTTAAAAGAAGTGGTAGGAGAAAACGGAAAAAGAAATCTCAGATAAAAATATCAAAAATAGAGATAAAAAAAGGCAATTTTATTTTTGTTACATATAAACATTTCTTGATAACATTATTATAAGCGTATATGGGGTTTAAAAGTAGGTCTACTGTTTGGAATACCTCCTTGAATTCGGATTCGTCGTACTGCTTCTCTTAAATGTTTGGGTTGTAATGGACCGGTTTCATGCATCTCCTCCATCACATCCAAAGCTACAAAAATAATCATTTTAGTTTTTGAAGTTATTAAATCAAAATAATTACATTCTTCAACAATTTCTCCCACAAATACTTTAGCAATTCCCGCCATTGCAATGACCACATTTTGTGATACCGAACACCCTGTAATTGTTTGCATTAATCGTTTTATTGCAGCTTTTGGAAAAGCTGCTCGTCGATACATTTCATATCGATCTAATTGTTCTTCAGTAAAATTTGAAACTAAAACTCTACAAATTAAGAATCGAATTAAAAAGTTTCATTTCAATTTTAATGTAATTAACTGCATTTTTTCCCTCTCCTCTTCTTCAATTTCTTTCTTAGTTTTTTCCTTTTTTCGTTCCTTCATTATTAAATTACTACTTTGCCCTATTTCCGGAAGTATTATATCCGTCACCATATATTCTTCCTTAATTATATTCGGATCGTCATAAAAACTTTCAAAATTAGTTTTCGTTGAATATTTTGTTTCCTCCATCGCTGAAGATGAATTTTCATGGGAATCATCATCATAATCAGAATCTGAATTAGTACTGTTCAGGTCATATTTAAGTTGATTGATCGCTTTTAACTTATTATTATCCATTTTATAATCCATTCAGTTTAACATTAAAAATTATTCAAAAAAGCTTATTTATATTTTATTATACATAACCTCACATAAAATATTTGACGTTTACTTTACATTATGATTTGAAACTATCATATTATAGATGGCGCCACGTAAAAAGATTTATCATTACATTATTATTATTAATTTACAATTTTAATACAAACATGTTTTTAAATATATTTAAACAATAAGTATTAATAAAAATATTTTATAAACAAAATCCATCTTTTATTAAAAAACTAAATTAATTTGGTTTAGCTATTCGCCGCCACGTGCGCTAACGTCTATTCAGCTCGTCAATACGTCACGTCGTCGATCGCTTCGACTTGTAATTCATTGTTTATTGTCTAAAAAATGAATCATAACGCGAAAACGGTGTGATTTTTTCCTTAAAGAACACGATAGTTTAAAGTGGTGATCGATTAATGATAACGAAAATTGAATCTTTTCATCTACAAACCTCTTGAAAACCACCGCTCAGAGTTCATTTACTCCGTGTCGTATTGTCACGATTTTAAAGACTCTTCTTTTCGTTTCAACCGAATTTGAGTGAAAATCGAAATGAGGATGCGAACATTTTTTCAAATTAATTGTTATTTATAACGGTACGTAAATTCATTTAAAGTTATTTCGTTAAAATAACCTATCGAAATACTTTAGGCAAAGGTTAGATTCTTTTTGTTTGTATTGTGATGTAGACATAGTGATGGCGGATTGAACTATCCAAAGAATTTAGTTATTTTATTTTGAGGTTATAATTGGAAGAATTCTTTGTTGTTAAAAGAAGCGCCACTTTTTAATGTATTTTTTTTTCTGTTAGGTTATTCTGTTGAATCACCTGAAGACCTTCAACGGTTGATGGGGCTTGTGCCCCTACTTTTATATTGCACTGGCTCCCACCTCCTTCAACATAATTCCACCAAATTCCGAAGGTGAGTCAATCTTTTTTAAATTAGTAAACTTTCACTTTAACTCTTTTAATAAGAAGTAGAGAAATTTATAAAGAAAGAAAATTTAATAAGGATGAATAATGTGTTTATAGAAAATTTTTTATCTTGACATTTAGAAATTTGACATTTTGAAAATAACTGTCAATTTAAATAATGTAAATAAAAATTGAGGTTATGTTTTAAAAGTATTAGAGAAATTATTTGATAATTATAAGATTATTCCATCTGGTTTGTTATCTAATTACTTTAATATCATTAAACCAATTCAAAATCAAAATGATAACAACCAAGTTTGAAGCAATGATGATATATAAAAATTTTAAAGGTAGTACAATTTAATCCTTGATGTCTTAGTTGACTGTAATATTAGTACTTACACATAATATTTAATTTCTAACACTTAATTCCTAAGAATGGCGGTTTTGATGATTCTATGATTTCCCCCTAAATATCTATAAAGGCTTATTTGATTTATACTATTTATAATCAGCACTTATCTACCGTATAAAACAGCTACCTAGTGGGTAGTATTAATTTATAGTGGTAGAAACAACATTAGTTTTGATTTTCTATTTATAATATCAATACTCAGCGCAATTAAACACAATAAGAGAAAAAAAGAGATGAAAAGCCAATAATCAGAAGATCATCAGGAAAGAAAATGTTTTGATGAAGTTAAATCTGATACTATGATGTATTAATAATGATGATTTCTATATTTGATATAACCAAGAAAATATTTAATACATTTTTTATTATATAGTTATTGATATAATTTGTCAGAACATCTCTGAGAACATTGTATACACATCATAGAAGATTTTCAACTTTGCATCGCCTGTAGGATTAAATAGATAACAAATTATATCAGTGCTATTGTTTTGAGTTGTATTGGTTTGCAGAAAACTTCTAGGTTCTTCTACTGCTGATATATTATCTTCCACTATATCACCTATTCGACGTAAATAATGGTTTAATTGAGATATGAACTGCAATTATTTATCAAAATTATCTCTAAATATAATTACTACAATCTTAATTATAGATGTCACAACTGTATTTTAGTACATAATTCATTGATATTTATGTTGCCTTTATTTACAATTTTTTAATTGTATATTTGTTGTTCTTATTTTAGTTATTGCTTTGATTTTTTCTTACTTGGGGCGTTTACATTCTTCAGTTACTGTCCTGGAGTAATTCATAAAGTAAGATATCCAGACATTCCTTCCTTTTAGTATGCTTCTAAAGTGATGAGTCATTTCCAAGGTCACTGATTTTTATCTGATTTGGCATAAATTTTCTTCTCAATCACGTCGTCGTTCGCAATATAGTGACTCCCAAGGCATCAAAATCGTCCTATGTAGACATAGTTGCTATATAGACTAGAAGAAATAAATAAAATGGAAGATTTAGGTTCCAAGTAATCATGATTGGATGTGCAATCGAATCTAGATAAGTAGGAATTCTGGGGGGCACCTTTAAAGTCGCTCTCATAGAGGTATCTAGGTAATCTAGAAACCTTTATTAAGTGGAAGCATGTATTTTCCTATGTTAAACCGAGATCGCTTGCGGTCGAGGCACTACAATTGTGATCCTTAAATTGAAAACGCAATAAAAAAAGCATCGGCTTTATGGGATGAAATGATATATTTTCCTTCGTTAAGTCGAGGTTGCTTGTGGCCAAGGCGCTATAATCGTGATTCTTAAAGTGAAAATGCAATGAAAGTAGAGCCTCGGCCGTAAGCGACCTCGGCTTTATTAGATGAAACCACTTATTTTGTGAGATAAAGAGATCGGTTGAGGCGCTACAATCGTGATCCTTAAAGTTAAAAGCAAACAAAGTAAACACTCAGCTGCAAGCATCCTCGGCTTTATTAGATGACATCATATATTTTCCTTTGTTAAGTGATTTACGGCCGAGGCGCTATCCTACTAATAAAGGTCTCAATCTCACAAATTCTTTTATATTACAACGACTAGAGGTAATAGAAAAATATAAATATCTGGGAACCATGTCTAGCAAGATAGATACGCAACAGAATAGCAAAAGCAAGTTATCTACGGGTTGGATAGGACAATATTAGACACAATTCAAAAATAGGAGCAGCACATATAGCGAAAAATAGTAAAACCAGAAGAGACAGAGAACAAAACAAGTGCGTCAGAGAATTGAAAGCAGAAAAGAAGCAGCAAGAAGAGCTTGAAAGCTGTAATAGAGTAGATAGAAGAGAAACAGCTGAAATACCACTGATTCGAACAGATGAGGAAAGAATACCAAACATAATGTTCAATATGAAACCAGTAGGAAGTAATCATAGTTGTTGCATCGAGTAGTTTTATCACGAAGTCATTTAAACAACAACCCAGTCTAGTCGGCAATAATTATGTTTTTCGTGTCATATTCATATAAAATTTCAAGTAAATCATTAATACATATTTTTATTAAATTACAACGCAAATTACATTCTATAAATTACACTGATCTATCCATTTTGTTAAACACTCTTCTAAATTTGAAAATTCTGGTCGACGAAATCTTTTAAGTTCCGTGTCCTTTTTATGATTCGATCAAAAGTTGATTATGGGACACCAAAACCTCTTATTAATTCACTTCACACTTTCCCTTCTTATAGCCATAATCGATTTTTGTCAACAATACTTAAAATTTTTATGAACATATTTTGTGCCGTTGTTGTTTTTCCAATTTATAGAGATAAGAAGCCGCAATTTTACAATTCTAAGATTTGATAACATTCACATTAAAGAGGAACGACTGATAGAAAATTTGGGCTTTGATGGATTAAATGGAAAAAGAACAAAGACGCTTCCTTTGTTATACTGAACTTAAATTCGTGTTTATATCGGGGTTATGGTGTTAAAGCAGATCTTTTTTATTTCTTAATGACAAAAGTGAGACATTGAGAGTCACCGATTCTTGTTTTGTCAATGCAGCTTTCTTGGTAAATACATAAAGGTTAAGAAATGCCTCTGTTTTTACTCATTTGGGCTATCTCAAAACGCTTATTCAGCAATTGAAAAGAATCTATGAAATGATCTAAATGAAAAACTTCATGTTGTTAGGGATTGTTTGTAAAGCACGTTAAGTTTTATTAATATACGACTATAAAGCTACATGCCTTGAATACTTGAAAGTCTAGAAATACAATGTTTGGATTACTCATTAATAGTATAAACGATTTAAATAAAGTTTTGCATCTCTTAGGGGTCTTCCCTTATTGCATTACATCATTGTTATATTTTTTTAATTTGGAATGGGGAAAATTTTAGACGGAAATGTCATAAGAACTTTTAGTCACGTTCTAACGCAATCTGACGTTCAATTCTTTGTGTTTCTAAAGATTGATCAATATGCTGTTTCGAGCGAGAAAGCGGAAATCCCGTTGGTTTTTAAGTTTACTCTATTTTTTGTGTTTTCTCCTCACTACATTTATCTAGTAATAATCTAGGTTCATACACCTTTAGATTGTAAATCAATTTGCTCTTAATTGTTGACATTGTGATAAGAAACACTAAATTCACTGTTGGAAATCTTTTTATTATATTTACACTTGAATTCTAAGAGTATAACGTGAATGTACCTAAATTGTTTTAAAGTTTAAATAAGATTATACGTTTTCCTTATTAATATGTAAGTAAACTATTTTTATTCAACTTTATGTTACATTAAAATCTTCCTTTCTCTTGATTTTAACATTGAGAAAGTGTACCTTTGTAACGCATGCGTCGTTTTCCTTCCACAACTACCACCGCTGCTGCTGTTCGCACACTGAATAGACACCGTTCACTGTGAGAGAGAAATGAACCTCGGTCTCCGTTAGTTGAACGTTTTTTTTAGTACATTTTGAACTAAACTTTTATTTCGATAATATTTGGTGACCACTTTTCGTTTAAAATTTTTCATATAAACACGATTACTTGTTATTAAAAAAATTATTAAATAAAAAAGTGTTTCTTAACTTTATTGGAATATCAAATTTGCAATGATGATATCAATAAGTGTTTGAGATTTCGCGTTGGTGTTGTTGTTATGTTGAACATCGCGGGTTGTGGTATTAGTGATCGGCCGTTTTTGCTACTGTTTGATGTCACCTTATAGCCGATACCGGCCACTGCCGGGATCCGATGGATTAACGACTGTCCTGCAGCCCGATCGGCCCTCGCAGGGCTGCAGGTCCGCTTCTTCCGGATCTACTCACGCTTGTAGATTCTTGAGATGGTTTGCCAAATTTAGCCCGCAACCTGTTAATAAGCAAAGAGTGGGAAAGGAATCATTTGAAGGTAAAAATTCATTACAAAATTAAATATTAATAGATCTGATGGAAATAAACAAGGTTAATTGATGAGAATTTCAATTGGAAAAGTTCGTCCCTATCCACGTGTGTTCTTAATATGGGTAATAAATAGTTTTGGTATTGAGCCAAATGTATAAGGTGCTTTAAATGTGGTGTGTCAACATAAAAATCTTGTATAGAAAGTTATTAATTTATAAATTCCTTTATGTTAAGTAAATCCCGGAAATGTCTTATTATAAATTATATTATTTATTTTGTTAACTAAAGCATTTATTTATTAATGATAGCTTAGTTTATTATTGAAAGTAAATTTAAACGAAATCCTTGAAATAGAACAAAAAAATAAACAGTTATAAATTAATTATCGTTTTAAAATTAATTATTAAACTTCAATTTTTCAATGACAACGAATATCGTTAATTGTGACGTAAAATCTTTTTGAAGAGAAACTATTTAGTTTTGAAAAGATTTTTTTATTGTTCGTGATGCAATTTTTTTAAAATAGACCTTGGAAAAATCAATGGTGCGTTAAATCCTAAACTTCGTTATTAGATCAGGTAACATTTTACGTTTCCTGTAACAATAATATAAACATAAATGACAAAATTAAGCAACATAAAAGTGATTACTCATTTAAGACTGAATTTAACAAGCCACGTTTAAGTAGATGTTATAAAAATACAGGATGACTACTGCTAATTATCTTAATAGCCGTGTTTTATTGGTAATTCGTGGAAATAAAGAAAAATCAAGGTGTAAAATATTTCTTATATGGATGAGTGTCTGTTGTTTATGTGACGAGATCTATCACTTTATTAGGAACGGAATATGTCAAAATTAAAGTTTGTAATTCTAGAATTTGCCACAGCTGCTTATTTATTTGACGCATCTCTTCAGTTATGGCACAGATATTGCTTCGAATTCTGATTTTAATTATAGAATTAGGTTGAACTTGAGTTTGCTCACTGTTTTTAGTTTGCGCCAAGTTCCGAAATTTTTAATGTTTAATAACTGAAAATTCAATTTCTTCGTACTGAAATAATCCATGATAAATTCTTTACACATCTTTTGATAACAACTGTTGCTCTGAGTTCTATGTTTATTAAATCACAGGCTTAGATTCTTAAACGAATTTGATTTTAAAAGTCATTTTTATGAAATACTTTGATTACTGAGCAACGTGAGAATCTCACACTAACCTTTTTCGACAAATACGCTGACTCAAAGAGTTTGTTACTGGTTCCAAACTAATTGTTTATTTAGTCTACTAAGTCTACGTCCATAACGACGAACAAACCTATAAAAATTTTATTTTTTTCTTCGAATTTATGTTAAGTTTTGAGGTACGCCACAATTATTATTCTAATTTTGTTGCTATGTTTGCTTTATGTACTGTTTGTAATTATTATAAAACCATGTAATATTCTTTGGAAGCTTATTCAACACAAAGTGCGTAGGCAAAGCGTTAATTCTATTACTAATTAACCCAAAATCACGATTAACACGCAGAAACTCCACCCGATTCGCTGTATTTTGATGATATGTCACATTTGCTCAATTTCACAGCATTGTTTTAAATCCACAATATTTATTTATAACAACATAAGTTTTTTTTATAAATATTTTGGTTTGTTCTGTTCAAATCAAGACATTAAAGTAATTTCTTATCATCGCTATTAGCAATTTCAAACTCTAATTATAAAATGTAAATAAAATTCGATTTTTGCACTTCAAATGGATTAGTTTATTTATTTCTTTTTCCCTACCGGTTTCGCCACATATTGTAGCATCATCAGGAGAATACGTCAATTGGCTACAAACGATTCTTAGGATAAATGTTGTTGAGTGTTTCTTTATATGTTTTCATATTCATATTACACTGAGAACTTTAGAGAATTAAGATTGGAGAGTATTAAGAATTTTATAAAACGTCTCCTGATGATGCTATAATATGTGGCGAAACCGGTAGAGAAAAAGGAATAAATAAAATAATCCATTTGAAGTGCAAAAATCGAATTTTATTTACATTGAATATAAAATGGAAAGAAAATCATTAAATAATACTAATTATAAAAGTTGAGAATCTTTATTCGATAAATAATGATTATATTCTCTATAGTTTTTAATTAGCCCCTCAATTGATAGTGGATAAATTCATGATCTGAGATATCTGGCAATAAATGTAAATGTTATTTAATGGTAATAGATTTTAACAGATGGCGCTAGTTGATACAATAAAAAATTAATGCATAAATTATGTATTTTGTATTAATTTATTTCGTTATTCTATAACGTAATAGAACCTGTAATTTATATTTAAAAACCAACATGCAGTACTTCCGATCCTTTGCCTGGGAGTGGTCTAAATAAGCAAACATTCCCGAATGAGCAGGATCGCCGGCTCCGACAAGAAATGTAAATAAAAGGTGTGAACGCATTTGAAGAAGTATTATATCTTTTGTTACTTTGAAGAGTTAAATATACAGTGGCTCGTAGGTTATTTGCCTATCTTAAATGTAAATAGCTTTGTGTATTAAAAACTATGAACTGCGTCGACAAAATTTGAACATTGTTTTATCGGGATCATTGTTCTCAACATACCTTTTTCACTAATTTGAACTACAAGTAATAAGTTTTTTCCAAAACAAGACATTGTTGCAATAATTCTTTATTACTCAAATCCTCATAAAAATGTTTAATAGTCTTCAATACATCAGTCTGTAATGTGTCATAATCATACATTAAAACATTTTTTTTTTGACTCGCCGTCTCCGATGTAATTAGTGTATTTCACATCACACAAAGTTTCGGAACAGTTCAAGGACAATATTCATTTTTATTTTACGAACAAAACCTTAATGATATGCCGTGAAGTTATGCTTTTTGTAACTATTCATGTCTAGGACTTTACCAGTATGATATCTAATAATTAACGCAATACCGTGCGAGGAAGTTAATCTTTTTTTCTTTGTTCTTTCTTACAAAACCATTAATTTCCATTTGTCTAGTAGATTTATCTCTTTGGAAGTTTGTCGAATCTCTTCATTGACGGTTTTTGTAAAGAGTTTGTCATCACAAGCAAAACAATTGTATATACTTTTAGAAGGGGTTCATAAGTACTCTGAGACAAAAACCTGGGTATGTCCATGAGTCCATAAATGCGTCTACTTATTCTGTAAGAATGTCCGATAAAAGAGTAAGATGGTGTTAGTGTCATGTATTTTGAAAGCTTTTCGTCGAGTACTTGTGGTTTTATATTTTTTATTACTACTATAAGTTTTGCACTTTACAATTATAGCAATTATCGAGAACACAGTAAAAACATTTAAAATTCTTTTCATCATTGATTTTCCTTTTCCAGTTTTTTTCGAAAATGTTTTGGCGTTTTTTCCTTTTCTTCAGCCTGAATTTTTGGTATTTCTTTTTTGGTGCCAAAATGTACAGATGATTGACATCAAGAATTCGTGCTTCTTTGTGTATCTTTTGATTCCTTCCTTGACCATGAAAATATTTAGATCTCTGTGTGATATCATAAAGCACGTAGTGCTTTATTTTAGACTGTCTGTATTACTTGGACATGGTTATCTTTTGCATACCCCCAGAATATACCATATTGCTATATAGATTTTAACATGTTGTTGTATCCCATAGTTTTGCTATACAAGGTGAGTCACGGGAAACGGATTTTTTTCAGCAGACTTTTTAAAAGATCAAAATTTATTTCCAGAGAAAGAACCGTTAAACTATGCCATTATGGAATGCTTACGAAAGTTAGCTTGGACTTTTGTCAAAATTTCTTCACCTAGTTTTGCGATTTTGTTACTTATTGTAGTCTTCAATTCTTCAAACGTAAGTCTTTGTGTAAAATTCGATGGACAATATTTTGATTCAATCGCATTTCTGCAGAGCGCTGCCTAACAGAGCGATTAGGACTTCGATTTATTGCCTCTCTTACTCGATCCACATTCGCTGGTGTTTTGGTAGTTCTGGCAGGTCCGGATTTTCTGTTCTATAAAGAACCTGTCGTTCTCAGTGCATTAATCCTTGGAATGGTATTGCGAAATGAGAAGATGAGATGGTACGCGTCATAAGCAAACACGCGATGTTCTCGACTCCACATTGGCATGAGGAATACTGTATGGCAACTTGATGGGAGTTGAAGGCTACCGTCCTCACCTTTTTATCTCCTTCATGTCCTGAGTGCGGTGCATTCCTAAAATATCCGCCACCCATGACACACTCTGTACAATGATTGTTTGGAATGTTTTTCGATAAGCCATTTATATGACTTGGGACACTTGTCAAGTGTCTTGCCTAAGTATTTTTTATACGGAACTATTTTTCCATTAATAGTTAAAGGTAGATTGTATAGCAATATTGCTGGTATACAGGATATACAGCAGAGGCCCAAGGACACTTCCTTGAAGTGCTTCAGCTTGCACTTCCTTTAAGACTGAATATGCATCCTCTTGTTTATCAGTCTATCGGTTATATACAATGGCAACATTTCTGCACATTGTCCTGATAAGACTATGTTGAGCTTCTAAATCAGGCGTTTGTGCCATACATTATCAAACTTCTGTATTACATCTAGGAGCAGTGCAAACTTGTTTCTCTTCGAGTGTTCTCTCTATGACGTCTGTAATACGATGTACTTGGTCGATTGTTAAATGCTTTTGTCTGAAGCTAAACTGGTATCAGCAGCTTTTCAAATACTATTGGCATTAGTGATATAGCTCTATATGATAACATCGTTATATACAATAGAATAACATACATATTATATATTTAGTGATGTTAACTTTGTTTTTTTAAGTTATAAAAAAAATCAATAATTTAATTGACTTTTTAAACACTTTGTATTTTAATTTGAATATCCACTCCTATTAATTAGATCAATTTTCTACTTAAATGTGTTGAGTTATCATTAAAATAAAACGTATGGCACCGAATCGTTAAATTGCGTGTTAATAACTTTGCTGAATG